ACTATTTGTGCCCAACCTGTGGTAGAGCATTTGGAGCTCATATTAGTCTGATCAGCCACAGTCAGACACACTAAAGCTTGACTTTGGCCTAGTGAGGTCATCTAACTCCTTGGTTCTAGTCTCTGAGAAAGAAGAGGTGGCCATTCTCTCTGTGTGGCTAACTCCAATTACACCCTTAGTATCTCTTCCTGTCTCTTTCAGGAAGTTGCCTTGTTAGTGATTCGTTTTCTTTCCTACCTCTCCTCTTCCTCTCTTTCCCCCCTGGGCCCTTTTTTCTTCCTTCTTTTTTTTTTCTCCTTTGACCTTCAACTTTTCTTTTCCCCTTTCTCCTTCTCCTCTCTCTTCCTTTCCCCACTCCCTCTCCTTTTTTCACTACCCCCTAAAATGCTCATATCATTTCTAGCCTTAAAAACAACCCCCCTAAAACCTTCTATTGACCCTATTTTCTCCTTAAAATCCTGTATGTCTCCTCCTTTTCCTCTGACACTCCTAGAGAGGATGTCTATTTGCTGTCTGCACTCATCACCATCTCTCACTGCTCTTTGACTATTCTGCCTTCAGTGAAGCTGTGATCTCATTGATGTGGGGACTCTCTCCAAAGATGTAGAACCCAGCCTATCCATGCCTGCCTGCCTGCTTTGCTCTTCTCACCCATGGCTTCCCACCTCCTGAGTGGTGGGTGAGAAGGGTGTCCTTCTCCTAAGCTCTGTCTGGAGCCCTCTTCTCTCTCTCTCCATTCTCTCCCATGGCAATCTTATCTTCTCTTTACAGGGTACTATTAAATCTATTCCTGTAGCTTTAATCTCTTCCCCTAAACTCCCGCTGCTGTATCTCCAGCTGCCCTCTGGACATTTCTACCTGGCTGTCCTGCCAAAAACACAAACTCAGCTTCTCTGGAACGGAACTCATCCTATTTCTCTCCAGGCTTCAGTTTCCTCCTTTGTAAAATGAGAGGACTGTCAAATTTGGCCTCAGATACTTGCTAGCTGTGTGACCCTACACATATCACTTAACCCCGACTGCCTCCAAAAGAAAGAAAGAAAGAAAGAAATGAGGGGACTGGCTGCAGGGTGAAGTAAGGAGGACATTCTACAGAATGATGACACCAATGTAAATGAAATTAAAATCACTAAAGGGAAGTCAAATTCTTGCGTAATGGAAAATAGTACTGGAGAAGGGTTAGCAAACATACTTCCTCCCTCATGGCATTGAGGTGGGGACCACTAAGATGGAATGTTATATACATTGTCAGATGAAGTTACTGTAGTCAGTGTTTTTGCTTAACTGTTTTTCTTTGTCACAAGGGAGGTTGATCTTGAAGGCGGGATGACAAACAGCTGCAATGTAAAGATAACTACATCAACAAAATGTGTTTTAAAAGTAAAAACGGGCAGCTAGGTGGCGAAGTGCTTAGAGCTCCAAGCCTTGGAGTCAGGAGGACCTGAATTCAAATTTGACCTCAGACACTTGATACTTAACTAGCTGTGTGACCCTGGGCAAGTCACTTAACCCCGACTGCCTCACCAAAAAAGCAAAAATAAAAATAAAATAAAATAAAATAAAAACAAATGAAGATATTGGACTAGATGACTTTTAAGGTTCCTTTTGACTCAATCAACAAACATTTATTGGGCTTTTACTATGTGCCAGGCACACCTAGGAGTTACTCTAGAGGTATGTATATTATCATATATACTTATATTGTGGTTGTTCAGTTTTTTTTTTTTAGTGAAACTCTTTGTGACCCCAATTGTGGTTTTCTTGGCAGAGATACTGGAGTGGTTTGCCATTTCCTTCTCCAGTTCGTCTGACAGTTAAGGAAACTGAGACAAGCAGGGTTAAGTGACTTGCCCAGGGTCACACAGCTAATAAGTATGTGAGGCCAGATTTGAACTCAGGAAGCTGTCTTCTTGACTTAAGGCCCAGTACTCTATCCACTGTACCACCTAGCTTATATTACTAGGGGTAATATGATATAGTTGATAACAATATAATATAGTTTCAGAAATTCACAACAAATACAGGACATTTGCAAAAAAAAGAAAATTCACAGTATAGGGGGAAGAGAGGCACTGAGAAGACAGGAATTAGGAAAGGCCTCTCGAAGGAGGCCTTGGAGATGTCTCTGGCCCAAACAGAAAGAAGAACACATAAAAGTCATATCAAACACCTCGTGGTTACCAAGGACTGCTGCTGACATGGCTCCGCTTAAAAGAACCCCCATCCCCACCCCAAGACCCTCGTGCTACACCTTGGAGGTGATTTCAGAAGCAAAGATGAAAAGCATCCATTCCAGGTGTGGGTGACAGTCTGTGCAAAGGCACAGAGTCAGTCAATCGGCATTTATTAAACACCTACTATGTGCCAGGCACCGTGCTAAGCACTGGGGATAAAAAGAAAAGCAAAAGACAGTTCTGGTTTTGCAAGCTTATAGTCTAATGTCAAAAGAATTTTAAATATAGTGTGGACTAAGGGTCTCTAATCTGGAAATGGTGGGAGCTGAACTGAGCTGGACAGAGACAGGTGTGTCAGGAATTAAGCAGTGGTTTAATTAATTTCAGAGTGAGGAAGGCAAGTTTGCAAACAAAGATCACCTGGAGACGGCTTGTCTTGCTGGGGCAAAGGCAGAGTTTATATACATAAAAATCACAAGGCAGGGGTGGTGGTGATGGGGATGGCATCTGAACCCCTAAAAGAAAAAGACCATGTCTTTGGGATCTGGACCCCAAAAGGGAAAAGCCCTGGAGGCCATAATCCTATCTACTGGCCTTTCACTATTGCCTAAAACCCAATCTCCCAAATCTCAGGTTACCCTTAATGTAACCCAGCCCTCCATTGTCTATTACCCCACATGGCCCCGGGCCACTTCCTACCCTTAATCCTATCTAGACTCCATTCTTCCTAGGCCAGGTGGCCAAGGTCCCTGGCATTCTGTTACCTCCTCTAGTCATCCCAGACTACTTGGCCACTCCTAGATCCCTCCCACAGTCTTTCTGTATATAGTCCATCTGGCCTCCATTAAGGTGCTCAGATGCTTAAGATCTCTGGCCCACTTGCATTAGTGATATAAATGCGTAGATTCGGGGTGGCTAGGTGGTGTAGGGGATAAAGCTCCAGCCTTGTAGTCAAGATGGACCTGAGTTCAAATCCGGCCTCAAAGACAGGATGCTTACTAGCTCTGTGTGTGACCCTGGGCAAGTCACTTAACTCCTTTAAATCTCACCAAATCAATCAAGTTAGATCGATGTGTTCTAATAAACTTTGGCCTGGGTCAAATTCATTTGGACAGGACTGTGTGTCTTGATTTTGGGATCTCAGCACCCCTATACTTCAACAGTGGCGGATCACAATGCAATCAAATCAAATCTTGAAATACTTCTCATGACAGTCCTACGAGTGTACAATTCAGGTGTTCTTGGGTTGACTGTCTCAAGTCTTAAGGGTTGTTGAGCCGTTAGCACGATGGGAACAGGAGTGCAGTAGCCTCGGGTTCGTTCATTTTTTTTTTCTGGTTACAAGCACTGGAATGAAGGAATTGTGAGAGTGTCAAGAGTCCTTGCTTTATCACCTGCAGCTTCGACATGTGGGCTGCAGCTCTGACTCCCAAACCAGGAAAATGAGAGTTCAAAAATATCTAGAGTTAGTGTAATCATTACACATATATTAATATGAGAATCATAAATCCCCTTACAGTACAAACAAGAGACAGACAAGACAAATTAGAGATAGAGGCAGGAAATGGAATGTTACGTACAAAAGAACAGCAAAATCTACCATCCCCTTCTGTCCATGGCACCACCATCTTCCACACCCCCCCAGGCTCAAATCTCCAGGGTCATGTTTGACCGTTTTCATCTCAGCTCCCACATCCAGTTGCCAAGATTTGTCAATTCTCTGTTCACAGCATTTTTTAATGCCTTTCCTCATCTACTAGCCACCACCCTAGTTCAGAGCCTTATCACCTCTTACCTGGAATATTTCTAATAACCCCTCCTTTTTCCAAAATAACCTTCTGCACGCTTCCTTGATCTAAAGTCTACCGAGGTTTCCTATTACCAACAGATTTAAATACCCAGGTCTCCCAAGGGGTAGATATTAAAGTCCTTGAGGCTCTTTAAGGGAAGATCCTTCAAGATATACCCAGGATCTGGATATAGGAGGCACTTGGCTAATGTTTATTTTAATTGACTGGAGCAGACAATTAGAGGTTCCTAACCTCTAGGGAGAGAAATGGGAGGGGGCAGCTAGGTGTGAAAGTGCTCAGAGCGCTGAGTCTGCAGTCAGGAAGACTCATCTTCTTGAGTTCAAATCCTGCCTCAGACCTTCCTAGCTGTGTGACCCTGGGCAAACAAGGTTAACCCTGTTTGCATCATCATCATGGAGAAGAAAATGGAAAACTACTCCAATATCTTTGCTAAGAAAATCCCCAAGTCATGAAGAGTAAGACGTGACTGAAATGGGGAGGGTCAGTTCCTACAAATTCCAGGGCTTTTCCTAGACATACAAAGGCCAGGTACTAAGGAGCAAATCCAACATCTTTGCTCAATCTTGGCCCGAGTCCAGGCTTCAGACTCGCTTCCTCTCTAGCACGTGGGAATTCTCGGCCTTCCCATTGGCTTCCATTTCCCCCTCCCCTCCACCATAGGCCGCTATATAAACGGAGTTTCTGATAGGTCCGAAGGCTTCACATATCGTTCTGATTGGCCAGCAGCGTTCACGCCTTCTTCTTGTCCTGTTCTCACCTTGGGGATCGGGCTGAACCAAGAGGAAGGCGGGGGGATGTAGTACAAGGGTCTTGGGGTAGGGGTGGGGTTCTTCTGAGTGGAGCCGTGTTAGGGCAGTCCTCGGGAAACACGCGGTGTTTGATATGGCTTTTCCATGTTCTTATTTCTTCTTGAGCCAGAGAGTGAGGGAGGCTCGGGTGTGGGCAGATTCTCCCCCCTCCTCGGTGGTGCGGACCGGGCGGGGCTCGAGGCGCAGGGGCTTTAGAGAAAACTGCCAATTCTGCACTTGCTGCTTCCGCCGCGCAGCCGCCGCCGTGTGCTCGAGATGCTGTTGCTGCTGCCCCAGCTCCGCCGCACCCTGCTCTGCGGCCCCTGGCAGGCGGGGTGAGTGTCCGGCCCGGGGGCGATTCCCCTGCCCTCCCCCCAGGATTCCCTTGGAGCCCTACGATCCCCTCCCCTACTGGAGCCTCAGGACCCCCTCCTTTGCACCCTCAGGGACCCCCTTGTTCCTGGAGCCTCACGACCCCCCTCCCCTACTGGAGTCTCAGGACCCTTCCTCTTCTGCACGCTCAGGGACCCCCTTTTTCCTGGAGTTTTAGGACCCCTTCCCTTCTGCAGCTTCGGGACCCCATTGCCACGGGAGCCACAGGACCCCCCTCCCCCTCTGCGCCCTCAGGATCTCCCTTTCTCACTGGATCTCTCGGGGCCCTCCCCCCAGTTGGATCCCTGAGACCCCTTCCTCTAAGAGCAGTCTCCCCCAGGACCTACTTCCCTTCACTATATTTCTCTCTCCACCCAATGGATCCTTTAGGATAGAGCTTTTTAACCTGGGGACTTCAAACTTGGTTGTAAAAAATATTTTGGTAACTATTTCGGGATAATTGATTTCCTTCCTAATCCTATGTATTTTATGTTGTTCATTTAAAAACATGTTTCTGAGGAGTCCATAGGCTTCACCACACTGTCAGAAGCCCATGACACACACAAAATGGTTAGGCTTCCTTGAGTTTTAGAGGCACCCTCCCCTTTCACAGGGACATCCTCTCCCCCACTCTCTTTTCCCCTAGGGAGTGATTTCTTTCCACCCACTGGATCCTTTAGGGTCGCGCCCCCCCATCAGATCTCTCAATTTCCCCCACTCTTCTCCCCTCAAGAGAGTCTTCCAGAAAGTCTTCTAGGTCTGGATTTTTCCCCTCTGAGGATGGAGGCCAGCTCCCCACTTGTGCCCAAGCCCCAAAATTGAACCCTCTCTCCCCAGTGGAACCTGTGCTCTGAGTCTTTGTTGTATCATGGCTTGTACTCTGTTAGTGCATCTGTTTCTCTGAGTTACTTCTCAGAGCTTGGGAGTCTCCTGCTACTTCACCCTGGCTCCTGAAGCCTAGAACCTTAGAACAGAAAGGGACCATTGATCATATAGTCCAGGGACCTACCCCCTCCTGCATTTTAAAGAGGAGGCAGCTGAGGCCCAGGAGAAGGGAAGTGACCTTAAGATCATACATTTGGGGTGGGGGCAGAGGAGGCACTGTAACCCAAGTCCCCTGTCTCTCAGTTTAGGATTACAATTCTCTGATTTATTCCGAAAGCTCTCCTCTTTCAAAACTTTACTAATACTCTTTTCTTCTCCCTACAGCTCTAAACCTGTATGAAATTATTATCCAGTCTGATCCAACTAGCCTTCATTGGAACCTTGCTGAGGGATCTCTCCTGTTACCATTTATTTCTATTTCTTTCAAATATTAGAGCCATCCCCTTCCCCCACTCTCTTCTTAGCTGACTCTCTCATCTTCCTTCCCTTCCCCTTTGGACTCTCTTCTTTAGCAGGTTGGTTCCCTAAAATGCTAAGACATGCCGCTTCAGTTATCCTATCCTGAATGCCACAGTGCTGAGCTGAGCTGTGCTGTCAGAGTTAATCAATGTCTCTGCCTTGTATGTGAAGCAAAACAGCTGCTTCTAGGCAGACACTCCCTCAGTGGGCCTCAGTTTTCTAAATCTGTAAAATGAGGCTTCATGGGATGGCCTGTGGAATCTGTCTCATTTTACAGATTTCAGGTCCAATGAGAGTAAATGAATTATCTAGTGTTACCTGCGAAGTAGGGAGCAGGGAGCAGAACCGGCTTTGAACAAAATTCACCTGCAGACCTTGTGCTCTCTCCGTTACCCTAAGGCAGGCCCTCTAGGCCCTCAAGAGCAGGCCCTTTGACTGAATAGGCAGCACCCAAGAACCTGGAAGGCCTGCAGGTTCCCCAGCCCTGCCCTAAGGCATGGATGATAATAAGAACATACCTCTATTTATTTAGCTCTTTGAGGTTATCTCTTGTGATATACATAACATATACATATGTTATCTCATTTGAGCCTCACAGTAACCTTGGAAGGAGGCACTGCTGTCATCCCCATTTTACGATTGAGGAACCTGAAGCTGAGAGAGACTGTAAGGACTTTTCAACTCTAATCTTCTCTGTTCTAAGCATTTTGGAGTAGTAGAAGAAACACTACATTACGTCATTTAAGGAAAAGTTACTTAAATATCTGACTTGCAATGTCTCCGTTTGGCTAAAGCTGCCTTCAGCAGTTTGATTCTCTTTTCTAAGGCCCCTCCCAGACTGTGGACTCTGGTCCAAATCAGATCCATCCAGTTGGGGCCTGAGCTAACAGTGGTTTCAAACAAACAAATAAACTCTTTTGTTTTGTGTTGTTCCCCACCCGATCCCCTCTAGCTGTGGTGACCTTTATTCTTAGGGCCCTCCTGAGTTCTAATATTCCATCATCATTATCATCATCATCATCATCATAATAGCTAACATTTAAATAATACCACTTATGTGCAAGGCACTGTGCTAAGCACTTTACAATTATTATCTCATTTGAACTTCGCAATGACACTGGTAGGTAGGTAGGTGCTGTTATTATCCCCATTTTACAGTGGTGGGAAACTGAGGCAGGTAGAGGTTGACTGACTTGCCTAGAGTCCCATTTGGAGTCAGGAAGACTGGGCTGCTCTATCCACTGTGCTCCATGTTTTAAGGGCCCTCTCAGCGATACCTGCATTCTGTGACTTTTAAACATCCATTCTTTATCTTCCAATAGGACGTCCCCTCTTTCCTGTTCTTTCAGTAGCTGAGGTTAGAAGTACTGGTGAATTCCCCTTTATGGTCGAAAACAGGCATTGTAATTAGCCCCATTAACAGGGGATGCTCTGCTGGAAAGATTCTGGGGAGTCAAATCTTCCTGATTCCAGGGCCAGCGCTCTCTTCACTGTTATGGGTCATCCACTCCAGCAGTCTGGATACCTCTCCAGACTCATCTTCCCTATTGTGGAGGTTGGTTTAACCTCTGTCTGGCCTTAGGTAAGTCAGTTTACCTCTGGAGCCTCAGTTTCCTCATCTCTCAGGTGGGGGGGTGGTGTCTACACCCTTGGATGGTTGTTTAGATGTGGATCCAGTGCTGTGCTTTGTACATAACTCATTTGTGTTGAACTGAGCTGAAAGATGACGCCTATGAAAGTTAAGAGGGTCCCACACCTATCTGCCTTTGTTGACCTAGGTTTAAGGCCTCTCAGCTAAGCCTGGGGATTCATCCGCTCTGCACTTTCCCCTTCTTTTCCTCCCCAGACTCTTCTATCTTCTTTCTGTTATCTCCCTGATAAGGGCAGCTTTGCTTTATCCTGAGCCCTAGATAACAGCTAGGAAACCTTGGAGGCAGTGAGAGGCTGGGTAGGATTGAAGCCAGGTGAAAGCTGCCAGCAGAGCTACCCTCTAGTGTAATGGGCTGCCTTGAAGGTGTTGGAGCCCTCTTCCTGGAAGTCTTGCAGCAGAGACAGGGCAACCAGTTGATTTGTTCAGGTATGGGGAGGATTAAATGATCTTTTCTCTGAAAGTCTAGGCCAACCCCTCCAGGGCTCAACTGTTTCTCTGACCTGTTCTTGTCCCTATCCTGCTCACCTCAGCTGGGAAGGTAGAAGAGAGGAGATGTTGCTGTGTTGGTTTCTCTTTTTGCTTCGCCACCTGAACCAATCACATTCACTGGCAGCACCTAGAAGGGCCTGCCTTATGGGGAAGGGACTGAGCTATGTAGAGGGACAGTAAAATTGTTCCTGAATATCTTCGATGTCATAGACTGCCAGGGCTGGATGGGACCTTAGCTCTCTGGACATTGGAGCTTAGAATGTATTGTCAGGGCTTAGAGCATGACCTGAGGGTTGAGGGGGACCCAAAGCAGTCTCAAAGTTGAAAAGTACTTCACGCTGCATCTAGTCCAACCCATATTTGATCAGTAATCCCCACAAAAGAGGCTGGCTTTAAAGGAACCTTAGAAGAAAGAATGTGAGGTTAACTCTGGTCTCCCAGCCCTGATGCCCTTCATGTGCCATGCTGCTTCTTAGTCTCTGGTAGACACTGCCAGGTTATTCCTGAGGTTGGCAGCTGCCATTGGCATCTTTGTTGCCTGAAGCTCTCTGTGGCCAGTGGGGAAAGTTAGCAGGCATGCTGTATGTATCTCACTGACTGGTCTTGTGATGTGGTGGCCAGAGCATCCAGTCTGACCTTTGGACAGAGAAGGGGGGTGGGGCTTGAATTTGAATACCAGCTTTTGCTCCTGCATGACCTTGAACAAGTCCCAGTATTCTGCTGTGTATATTGAGGCGGCCGATGGGGATAATCTCAGAGGTCCCTTCTGATTCTAGAGCTTCTGCTCAGTTATTTGGGGCAGTCTTCTGCTGTAAAGTGGGAACTCCAAGGTGCAGATTCTCCTACCTCTTCCCCTTGCTCGGGAGTCTTAGACAGCCTCTTTTTCCTCACTGTGCTCCTGTGCATCTCTATCAGGCATAAGCTCTTCACCTGGGAGACTGTGGAAAAGAGGGATTCAAAAAAAGCCAAATTACAAAAAATTACCTTTGCCTGGCAGAAATTTGCTAGTCTCTGTTCTCCAGTGCTCCGCGAGCAGATACACAATTTTACATGTATTCTCTGATTCATGACCTAAGGGGAAGAAAGCTGGAATTAAAAAGATTTGCCCACATTTCTGTAGCATTTCATGGTTTGTAGAAAGAATTTTGTCCAACCCCCTTGTTTTATGGAAGAAACTGAACTCTAGGGACTTGCCGTTAGTTACCTACATAAAAAGTGGCAGATCTGCATTCACCCCCAGATCCTTGGATTCCAAAGCCAGCACCCTCTCTGTCTACAGAAGAAGAAACCAGCTCGGAGACGGGTGGTGAGTTGTCTAGGATGTGCAGCCAGGAAGTGGGGGGGGAATCACTTCTTCAGGAGGTATGCATAGCTTCCTCCTGGTCTCTGTCTTAGGGTTCTCCAGGTCTGGGCTAAAATCATTGCAGGGACCTGGAAGGGCCACCCTTTCTCCCCACAGGTCCTTCTGAGCAGGCTCCTCTTCCTGCTTGCCTTCCTCTGAGCTCTCCTGCTGGCCTGTTTCCTAGGGTGTTCAGCCCCTCTCCCTCATCTTATCTGCCTCAGTGCTGAGCTGGGCCTTTTGAGTTAATCAGTAAACTTCCTCTCCTTGACTTTTGGGCATGACCAGGCTCCCACTGCAGCCCAAACTTGGCTCTGGCCTTGTCCTGTACTCTGTAAATCTCTGCATTTGGGGCACTGTTGCCTTCCCTCTCCCAGTCTCTGGTTCCTCCTCTGTAAAATGGGGTAATTCTAGTACCCCCTCCAGGGTTTTTGGAAGGGTCACTTGAGACAAATGTTTGTAAAGCACTTTGCAAACCTTAAAGTAGCATAAAAATGTGAGCCATTAGGATTAGTATTGTTATGGGTAGGTGGGTGATCACAAGCAAACTGCTTCTCCCCTCTAGGCCCGTTTTCCTTTTCTGACAGACTGGGATTTTGGTGTCGGATCTCTTTCCCTTTAAATGTCCTGCGACCTAAGCTCGAAGGAGCCCTGGCCTGGATATTGGAGCTCCCTGAGGCTGAACTCTCTCCTCCACACCCTGTGTGTTTTGGGGCTCTGTGAGCCTCATGGCCCTCATCCGTACAACAAAGGAGTCGGATCTGATGGGCCCTTTTTCTTCTGATCGTCTGTGTTTTAAAGGCCCTTCCTCCCAGCCCAGAGGTTTTCTATTGAGTGGAGGGGGCCTGACTTCAGAGGGAAGAACCACCTCCCCAGCCTTTCCTAATTTCTCGGGGAAACCAGGTCTACTCTCTCCTGCTGATTGCCTGGCAGCACTGGCCGTGGGGCAGGGTGCGGTGTTGGCTGCTGTGGTTGCAATCTCTTAGATCTGCAGAGTAACTAGTACAGACGGAGACTGTCTGCCAGGGGCCGGACTCACTCGGGACTCTGTGTGCCTGCTCTCCCTGGGTCCCTTTAGTTCTCCCAAGGCCTTCCCTGTCAGCCAGGACCTCTGAGGTCCCTTCCTGCTCTCACGCCCATAGAGTCAAAGCCATCTTCTCTACTATGCCTTCCGGGATTGAACACAACCCCGCTCCCCTTTCTCCTTGCACTCCTCACATTCCATCTGCATCCTGCTTTTTACCTTAGGCCCCCCTCAGCATTTCCTTAGCCCTTAGATGGGCAGACGATGGCTTCTTCTGTGTCACTGGTCTTCCCTTCGTTCTCCTAGATTGTCTTCTTGCAAAGTTTTGACATTGTATGTTCTAAGGTCCCTTGGCACTCTGGTGTTCTCTCTTCTGTTCTTCCAGAATTATTAGCATTCTGTGATTATAAAGCCACAGAGTCAAACGTTCCTGATTCCAAACAAAGCCTTGACTCTTCACTTAATACTGTACATCCAGGCCTGTACTCTTCACTCTAGGTTCCTTATCTGTAACAAAGTCCATATTGTACCCACATTCTGTTGAGCTAGGGAGGTGGTCAGGGAATAGAGGATTTCAGGAGAAAAGGTGAATTCTCTGAGTTTACAACCTGTCATGACTCCTGAGCCACTCCTTGTACCTAGATCATACCTTGCTCTCAGCTGAGACAGAGAAACAGAGAGCGACTTTAGAACAGAATATCAGAGATGGAAAGGGCCACAGAAAATCGAATATCAAAGCTGGAAGGGACCTTAGAGAGAGGGCCAGAGCTGGAAGGGAATGGACACCTTGGATAGAGACTGTCAGAGCTGGGTGGAAGGGCCTTAAGAACATAGACTGTAGAGCTGGGGCATGCCTTAGAAATCCCCTTTTACTTTACAGATGAGGAAATTGAGGCCCGTAGGGGTGAAGTGATCTGTGTGATGTTGGACAGCAAGATATTAGCAGAATGAGACTCAGAACTCAGGTCTCCCTCGGCTGTATTGCAGTCATAAGTCGTTTAACAAAGGGTCTGGATCAGTGCCTGGATGATGGATCCAGAGCAATCACTGCAGGGTGGTAAGGCCCTTAAGAGGTTGTTGGTAGTGTGTTACCTTAGCTTCCTTAAACAGGCCTTCAGTGTCCCTGTCTGACAGGATCCTGGACTGGCCCAAAGTAGTACTGTTGATCTGTCTTCTGTCTTTTGTCTTAGGCTTCGATGGCAGCATGCTGCCTCAGTGAAGGTGTCCAACGAACCTGTCTTGGCATTCACCCCAGGCAGCCCTGAGCGAAAAGCCTTGCAGCAGGTATGTGGTGGGGCCAGATATAAAAATAGAGTCGAGGAAGAGAAGTACAGGTACCCCCTAAGTTACAACCACGTCTGCATTACAAACAGGCAGCATGAGGTATAAAAAGAAGTCCGCTTCTAGGGCCAAAAGGACCTGGACTGAGGCTGACAGCATTTCAGACATCAACTACTGAGTAACCTAGCTCAAGTCACTTTCTCTCTGAGTCTGTTTCTTTATTTGCAGAAGGGGTCTAATACTATGTGCGTTTCCTACCTCATAGAATCATAGATTGAGAGCTAGAAGGAAACTAGGATCTTGTAATCCAACCCCTCCTTTTTACAGATGAAGAACATGTAAGCCCAGAGCGGTTAAGTGACTCATCCATGGTCACACAGGTAGTAAGTAGCGGAGATGGAATTTGGACTTAAATTTTCTGACTTCAAACAAAATACTCTTTCCTTTTCAATCTATTGCTTTGCAAAGTCATTGATTGACGAAGCATTTTCCTTACAGAATCAATAAACATAGAGGAAAATAGAAACCTAACTCTCATAACTTTAAATGTGAATGGATTAAACAATCCTGTAAAATGAAACAAGTGATAGAGTGGATAAGAAAACAAAACCATATAATCTATTGCTTAAAAGAAACATTTTTCAAACAAAGATGTATGCAAAATAACACTGAAGGTATGGAAAAAAATTTACTGTGTATCAAGTGGATCTAAAAAGCAGGCGTTGAAGTCACATTATCTGACAGAGCAAAAAATAAAAAGGAATAAACAAGAGGACTACCTTATGCTGAAAGGAGCCATGAAAACAAACTAACATCAGTAATAAATGTATATGTATGCCTTCTCATCCAGATTTATAAAGGAAACATTAACTAAGCTACAAGAAGACAGAGACTTTGGTGTCCCTCTCTGTCCTGGATAAGTCTAGCAGAAAGATGGACCAGAGAGAAAATATAGCGCTGATCAAATTGCTAGAGAAACTAGTGTTAAAAGACTTACAGCGTCTCCTAAGTAAGACAGCAAAAGACTATACGTGTTTCTCACTACCACATGGAAATTTTACCAAAATTGGTTATGTATCAGGGCACAGTGATATGGCAAACAAGTGTAAAAAGGCAGAAATAGTTAGTATATCTTTTATGGATCATAATGCAATACAAGCAGTAATTGCTTCAGGGACCACAAACAAAAAACACAGATCTAAATGGAGATTTAACAATGACATCCTAAACAGGGGTGGGGAACCTTCGCCCTTGAGGCCACTGGATTTGGTCTGTGAAGTTTGGATTCAGTCAAAAGGCCTCACTTGAGGGCCTTGTGGCCTTAAAGGGCCACATGGAGCCGAAGGTTCCCTACCCTCACTCCTAAAGTGAGGCAAAGAGCAAATCATAGAAACATTAATTATGTAAAAGAAAATAAGAATGAAAATAATGTACCAAAATTTCTGGGATGCAACTAAAGAAGTCGTCTAGAGAAAAAGCATATCTCTACAAGCATATATTAACAAAATAGAAAAAGAGAGAATTAATTAACTGAATATACATATTTAAAAATTAGAAAGCCAACAAATAAACCTAAAATAAGCACAAAAGGGGAGATGGTGAAAAGACTAATAAAACGGATAAACCTAGCTAAAATGATTAAAAAGAAGACAGAACATCAAATTAATAAAATAATAAATGAGCAAGGTAAAATCCCAACACCAGAAGAAGTGAAAATAACGATCAGAACATGTTATGTATACTTATATGCTAATAACTAAGAACACACACAAAAAATATAGAGGATACCCTTCAAATATATGAAATACCCAAACTACCAGAAGACCAGATAAAGATCTTAACCCAATCTTAGGGAAGGAAATGGATCTAACTGTAAAGGAAGTACAAAGAAAAAAACCACTCCTGTTCCTGATGGATTCACAGGAGAATTCTGTCACACTTTGAAAGAGCTATTAGTACCAATACTTCATAAATTATTCTCAGAAATTGAGAATGAAAGTACCCTCCAAGAATCCTTTTATGAGACAAATATTGTCCTAATAACCTAAACCAGGGGAAGATAAAACACAGAAGGAAACCTATAGGTCAGCATCATTTAATGAGTATTAACTCAAAAAGTTTTAAAGAAAATCCTATCCAACAGACTACATCAGTTTGTCCAAGAAATCATTATGACCAAATGGGATTTATACCAGGGATCCAAAGATGGTTTAACATTAGGAAAACAATTAACATGATTAATCATATTAAAAACCAAAACATCCGAAACCATGTAATCATTTCAGTAGATGTAGAAAAAGCCTTTGCTAAAGTGCAGTTTTCTTTTGTGCTGAAAGTCCTACAAAAGATAGGAATAGATGGACCTTTTAAAGAAAATATGTAAAGCATCTATCTAAAACCAAAAGCAGGCACCACATGCAATGGGGGATGTGCTGGAACCTTTCCCAGTAAATTTCTCGGTACATACAGGCATGAAGCAAAGATGCCCATTCTCACATTATTTAATATAGTTCTAGAAATGTTGGCAAAAGCAATAAGACAAGAGAAAGGAATTAAATGAATGAAGCAGGTAAGGAGGAAACAAATCTATCCTCATTTGCTAATGATATGGTAGATTACTAGGAAAATTCTAGGGAATCATCAAAGATAATAGTTGGGACAGTAGCTTCAGCAGAGTTACAGGTTGCAAAATAAGCACTCAAAAATCAAAAGCATTTCTGTGTAGTAACAGAACCCAAGAAGCAAAAGTAGAGAAATCTTATTCTGAATAACTACAACACGCACAAGCTGTCTGGGGAGCGACCTACCAAAGCACACACAAGACATATTATTTCAATTACAAGATGTTCCTTAAAGAAATAAAGAACAACTTAAATAACTGGAGGAATATTCAGTGGCCATGGTTAGGCTGTGCCAACATAATGAAAAAGATAATACTTCTCTAATACTTTTGAGATGGTCCTTCTTGGCAGGGTGTGGGATTCTCTTGTTGACTTGACTTTCTACATCTGGTCTTACAGTAAGTGTACGTGTAGCTGTCAGTAGGTTAAGTCTTTGTTTGAGTACCTCATTTATGTGTAAGGAAAGACCATGGGGCCAGTCAGAGATGTCTGTGAAAAGAAACTCTTACTGAGTTTGGGTGCTGAGATAACTTTTAAATAATGGGTTTCAGTTCAATGCAAAGCTTTATCGTAAGCAGTGCGGAAAGGGGAGAAGGGAACCCAACGCACAGCTCAGGCGTATACACTAACAGAGTGTAATTCATGTAAGGGCAGCACTGTATTGGGGAGCGCAGAGACACAGGTTCATGCAGCAAAAAGGGAGTACTCCAAGAAGGAGATGGGCTCCAAAGTACTCTTCTGAGACGACTTTGGATGTCCTTTTTGGAGTTGGCCAAATTGCATATTGGGTCAGGGCAAAATATTATTTTGGAGAGTTTGTCAGGGAGAAAAACAAGGTAACTGTAGACAAAATATTGTTTTGGGGGTTTGCATCTCAGGGAGAAAAATGATCTGGTGGTAGACAAAATATTATTTAGTTTATACAGCTGTACCAACCTTCAAAAAATATTGTCAATATTTTTCTGTGAGTATGTTTTGTAAGTTTGTAGCCTTTCTGAGGGAGAAACTGTTATGATAGCCTCAGAACCATCAGGCTTAATCTTACTACAATAGTTTCCATCCATTCTATAAACTATGGCCTTCCTTAATAGGGGAAGCTGTCATGGTAGTCTCAAAACCAGGCTTAATTTATACTTTTAATGCTGTACCAATCAAAATATCAAGATGATTCTTTATGGGACTTGACAAAATAATGAAATTAATCTGGAAAAATAAAATTTCTAGAATATTAAGGGAAATTATGGAAAAAAAGGACAAAAGGAGAATAGTACTTATAGACCTCAAACTAGATGATAAAGCAGCAGTCATCAAAACATCTGATATTGTTAAAGGATGGGGAGATAGATCAATGGAACAGACTCAACATGAGAGAATACAAAAAAGTGGAACTTAGTAGCCCAGTGGTTGATAAAGTGGAAAGCATAAATTATCTAAGGAAAGACTCCTTATTTGATAAAAACTGCTGGGAATGATGGAAATCTGTCTGGCAGAAATTAGGCTTAGAGTTAAATCAATACCTCATAGCATATTCCACAATACATTCTAAATGGTTATGTGACCTTAATAATCAGACTAGAAAAAAATTAGAAGAGAAGCAAATCATTTACCCCTCACAGCTATGGGGAGGAGATGTGTTCTTCACTGCACAAAGGATAGAGACATTTACCAAAGATAAAATAGATAACTTGGATTGCGTGAAACTGAAAAGCTTTGCATAGACAACATTAATGCGTTTAGGAGAAGGGAAGCAGTTGAATGGAAAAAGGTTTTTTGCATTAGATTTCTCTGGTAAGAGTTTGATATCTAAGATATATGGATAATTAATAAATATATATGACTAATAGACAAGTGGCCAAAGGATGTATACAGTTCTCAAAAGAACAGCTACAAAGTGTTTACAACCACATGAAAGAATGCTTCGAATTACTCATAATAAGAGAAATACAAATCAGAACAACGTTGAGGTCTCACCTCATACTCTGTAGATTGACACATAATGATTAAAAATGGCCCAACAGTCATTGTTGAAAAGGTCGTGGGAGGATAGGTACACTCATCCATTGTTGGTGGAGCTGTGAAGTGGAACAGCCATTTTGGAAAGCAGTTTGGAATTATGCAAGTAAGATGACTGAAATGTCCCTTTGAACCAGAGTCTTCTGTTCTTAGGCTTCTACCCCAAGGGAGCTATTGATAAGAAGAAAGTCCTCATATTCCAAAATATTTATATCAGCAGTTTTTGTGATAGCTAAAAATTGGAAACAAAGTAGATGTCCATCAGTTGGGGAATACCTAAACAGATTGTGGCGTATGAATGTAATGGATGTTGCTATGCTGTAGAAAAGACATTTGTATGTGAGGAATACAGAGAAGCCTGGAAAGAACTCTATGAACTGATGCAGAGTGAAGTAAGCAGAGCCAAGAAGACACTATATACAGTGAGTGCAACAATGTAAATGGCAGGAACAACCACACACCTAAAACTCAAAAGTGAAAGCAACAAAATGAACAGTTCACCCAGGATTTGAATGTAAAAAGATGAGAAGATTCCCCTCTCCTGCTCAGTAGAGGCAGGAGGTCTGCAGGTATCAACTTTGCACATGTTTTCGGGCATTTTCAGTGTATCAAATAATTGTGCTGACTCCCTTCCCCCCTTTAAAAAAAAGCTATTTGTCATATGGGATGATTCTGTGGGATGGACAGGGTGAGGGCTATATGGGATACTATAGGATTTAAGAAACAAAATATCAATTAAAAACTCATAAATAAAATAAAATGGCATTTTCCATTAAAAAAAGGAATTGACAAGCATTTATTAGGCATCTGCTGTGTGTTACTGCCCCTGGTGATTCTCGAAGATTCTGAGTTGCAGAGTAGGTCTTGATTTGCAGCGGGAGAGGTCGTTTCTTCCCTGGGAGCTCAGGATACTAACGAAATCCCAGCTTTCCACTAAAGGGAGAACAGGAGGGAAAGACAAAGAGATCCAGCCTCTCCTTTCTGCCCTCAAGGGCTTACATTCTCTTTGGAGAAAAAGGAACATGTGGATGAGTGTTTGCAAAGTGAACACAGTCTTAATGCACGCTAGACCTTGTGACCTTGGGCAGATCACTTCCCCTTTAAGGGCCTCTATTTTCTCTGATGTAAAATGAGGAAGACTTCAGATGATTTCTAAATTCCCTTCTAGCTCTAAATCCTGTGTTTTTCTGAACCCCTGCCAGTCACTATGGCCCTGGGCCATCCAGATTAGAAATTGGCTCTTCTCTTCCCTCTTTGATTAAAGCAGTCCCGTGTTCTTATAAACCCAGAGCTCATTGGCCTCTGAGGTCCCTTCCAGCTCTTAATCCATAAATAAATCTTATCTTAATCTATAATCTTATAAATAGAAACAAAAAAATTCAGCAGAACTAACCAACCCAACAATGATCATGTATATAATGTTCCCATACCTGTAGTTCCCCATCTTTTCAAAAAGGGGAAGAATGTATTTTCTCTTCTCTTCCAGGGGGTCAAGTTTTGGGGCTGTTAGCTTTAAAATTTAGACACGTTAGGCTTTATACAAGTTTTGTGTCTTTGGGGCCCTACCACGGTGCTTGGCACATAATGGAGACATACTAGATGCTTGCTGATTAATTGTGGGCTGGCCCAGGAACCTGAAGGCCCGAGCTGCCATTATTAATATGGAGAAATCTGGCCCAGTTACCAAATGGTCTTACAGTGAAAGCTCGTCGGGCAGGGCGTTTCACTCTTGTCTTTGTGTCCCTAGGGTCTGGCTCAGGTTCTGGCACAGAGTAGGCTTCTATAAATGCTTGTTGATTGATTTCCAGACTTTTGGAGGCCATTCCATATGTAAGTTGGGGGTGACTCTGAACCACAAGCATTGTTAATGTTAAGAATGCTGCATACATGCCAGCTGTTATTGTTAGCCTCTACAAAAGGAAGCCCATCCTTCTTCCCGGTAATTCCATTGTTGGGGATAGACTCTTAGGAGGCCACCTGCATCCTTCACCATCTGTAGAATAGGCCCAATCCTGGCAAAGTTCAGAGGTTGCCAGCCTACCCTCAGATCTCAGGATCTGTAGTTTCCCTCTTGCAATATTAAATCACTTTTTTGGTGAGAAGATCTTTCTTCAATTTGAGTGGAATCTATGCTCTCATCCATTTAGGTGTTCCTTTCAGTGATTCTGATTGCACCCCCATCTCCTGCCAGTTCAGCCTGTGAAACCTTCCTCTGTCCTTCCCTGAGTTCTTCACATTTACGCCGCCCAATGTTTTTGCGAGCTTGCTTCACGTTCTTTTCTCTTATCTTACCTAAATTATTCTGACTTTGGTCAGAATTGCCCCTTCTGACCCTTTACACCTGGCCTGCTTAAGCCTATTGGATGGAAAGTTTGGGGGCCTATGGTTCATGGTCCTCACCCAGCCACTAGCTTTCCATATGACCTCTTCATTTTCCTCATTTGTAAAATGGGTTGAAATAGATGGTGTCTAAGGTGCCTTACAACTCTGACCTATGTTCTGTGTTCTAAGGGCCCATTTAGCCTTGATACCCTGCATTCTAAGGGCCCTTCCCCTGCCAATATTCTGTTTAACCTACTATAATTGTGTGGTACAGTCCAAGACTCTCTTTCTCAGTAAGTTTTGCTTGCCCCTGACCAAAACTGCTTTTGGTCCCACTGTCGGATTCTGCATTTGGGAGCTTTCTATATTTGTTGGGAGATCTGGTACCAACCTAGGAAGAGACAGGTTTCATTCGTTTTACTTTTTTTTTTTATTTTTAGGCAATTGGGGTTAAGCGACTTGCTCAGGGTCACATAGCTAGTAAGTGTCAAGTGTTTGGTCTGAGGCCAGATTTCAGCTCAGGTCCTCCTGAATCTAGGACTGGTGCTCTATCCACTGTACCACCTAGATGCCCCTGGGTTTCATTTGTTAACACTCACGCTTCTCTACCTAGGCCTTGAAGGACCTGAAGGGTAAGACAGAAGCCATTCCATGTGTCATTGGGGATGAAGAAGTATGGACCTCAGATGTGCAGTACCAGGTGTCGGTGAGTGCTCGTGGGCAGGGGCTGGGCCTGACATGGTAGCTGGAGCTGTCCTCTTGCCTTTAGAGCATTGGCAGTGAGGTCTTCCTCTGATTTGGGTCACTCTGTATCTCTGGAGAGACATCACCTTGATTTTTGCCTGGGATTGGTGACTTTTGGTGGCATAGAGGGTGCTGGTCTTATAATGCTCATCTTGGCCCTGATCTTCACTTTTCAAGACTTGACTCACTCAAAGAAAGTGAGCCATTATCCTGAAGGCAGTCAGTATGGAGTCGTGGGAAGCCCTGGCTTTGAATCCTAGCTCATCCAGATTCTGGGATCCTCTTTGGTGCTGGCTTATACTGAAGGGATCCTCAGCTGGAGGAAGGTGGAAGAGAAGCCCTGGGCTGGATGGAGGAGGGTGGCCCTAGTCACTGGGTCCTTCCAGGGTATCCCTGGAAGGGATGCCCCCCCCACCAGGTAAGCAGTCAGCAGTGAATGAGTGCAAAAAGCCTTGAGTGTTGACTACGTGCTGAGTCCTTTGAAGACAAATACAAAGAGGAGTGAGTTCCCTGCCTCTTAGAAGCTTACCTTCTAATAAGCCACAGGTACTTGTTGTAGTCTCCCCAGTGTGCTTGCTGTTGGAGGCAGTGACAAGGCTCTTGCTGTCCTGGAACTCCCAGCCTAGAACTCCCAGGTAGGCAGGGGGCTGGGACATCAGCACAGCAGTGTCCCTGTGTTCCTGGAGAAATGTGTTAGACAGGTGCAGAAGTGATTGCTATAGTTAGTTTAAAAGGAAGAAGGTAGAAGTGTGAAGGGGGGATCCGAGAAACTTCCTGGGAAAGCTGGCCTTTGTCTGGGGAGTGGCGGCCCCAGCCTGCTGGCTGGGAGTCTGAGGCTGGGGAACTGTTTGGGCTTGGGAGTTTTGAGGCGATTGGGCGTCCATCCTAAGGGTCCAGCACCCACATGGTAGGGCAAGGAAGATCAGGCTGCCTGAGGAGCACAGGATGGAAGCAGCCAGGCAGAGTTTTTGTACTGATCTCCAGTGGGGTTGGGCCACTGAGTGGCTGCTGCACTTCCAGGGTGAGGTAGGGAGACCCAGTCTCAAACCCCCGCCCCCCAAAATACAAGAACTGAACAGGCCCAGAGATAGAGAAGGGGACCCAGTGGGTGCAGGGCATGGGCTGAGGGATGTCAGTGGGTAGGAATTGGGCAGATTTGGGGAATAGCACCAGCCTCACTAGCCAGACCCCTGGATAGCTGCCTGTGCCCTCTGGCCAGAGGTTAGGGATCCCACTGGCATCTTCCTGGGCCTTCCTCCTAGTGAATGTCCGGAATCATGACCTGGGCATCCCATAGATCCCGTTCATTGCAAACTCTTCATTCTGAATTTCCCTGTTACTGTCAAGGGCAGCACCAGCCTTCCTCCCAGGTTTAAAACCCGGGTGTCATCCTCAGCTCTTCCCTCTCTCCCATTTTGTCTCCCCTGTGTCCTCACTGGTCTCTCTGCCTCACCCTGTGCTCAGCTGCCAAAGTGATTTTTCTGAAGTGTAGGTGTGAACTCTACTACTCAGTCAACCTTAGTAGTTCCCTCTTAGCTCCGCCCTCCTTACCTTTCCAGGCTTAGGACACTTTCTTCCCCTTTATGAACTCTGGGGTCAAGCGACGGCCTCCTTGCTGCTCCTTGACACCTCATCTCCCACTGCTTGAACCCTACTCCCGGGGCCTGGAACATTCTCCCTTTTCATGTTCCCCTCTTGGAATCCCTGCTTCCTTTAAGATTCAGCTCAAACATCGCCTTATGTGAGAGGTCTCCCCCGCTCCCGCTGCCCCCCAGCTGCTAGTGTCTTCTCTCAGGTTCCTTTCTATCTCCTCTCTTTCTGCCTCTCCTTTCGAACGTCAGTTTCTCTAGGGCAAGATCTGTTTCTCTTTTGTCATAGGTTGCCTGGGGCCTGGCACACAGTGGTGCCTAATAAATGCTTGTAGTTGATCTGCTTCATCACAGTATAGAAGGGAGGTCAGGCCCGCTTAAAACACAAGACAAACACAGTAGAGCAGGATATTCAGAACTGGAAATGAAGGCTCGTATGGCTCTGCTTTTGACAGAAATGGGGAAGTCTGGAAGGAAAGACATTGAGGTCTGCTTTGGTCAGAGTGAGATGTCTATAGGGAGTATCCAGCAGCCATTGGTGATGGGGGACGAAAGCTCAGGGGAGAAGACCTGCAGGTCACCTGCCCTGAGAGGCTGCTGAACCTCACAGGGCTCATGGATGAGCTTCCTTCCAAGGCCTCTTCTGGCCTCAGATTGGTGATCCTGAGGCAGACGTGTGTGTGTGTGTGTGTGTGTGTGTGTGTGTGTGTGTGTGTGTGAGTGAGAGAGAGAGAGACAGAGAGAGAGGTGATGGGCCACCCCTCCCCAGGATGAATGGTTCTAGAACTTGATGGCTTCTCATCTTCCTTCTCCCTTTCCTTCTCCTTCCCCTCTGATTCCCCACTCTTCCTCCTCCACCCCTCCTTTTCTCCTCCCCCTTTCTTCTTCCCCTCCTCCTCTTCCCTCTCCCTCCCTTCCCCCTAATCTGGGCAGGAGGGCAGCAGAAACAGATGGAAAGAGTGAGAGAATCCAGGTTTGGTTTCCCTGGGGCTGCTGGATGTCCTTTTTTTTTGAAGTATAATTTTCTTACTTAATTGTTCTTGCTTTTTTGTACAATGTGGCTAATATGGAAATATGTTGCATGATTTCACTTCTATAATTGATGTCATATTACTTGCCTACTCAGTAGGTGGGGGATAGTGAGAAGGAGAGAGAATTTGGAACTCAAAAAAAATTTTTTTTCTATGTTAAATAATAAATTTTTTTAAAAAACCTCTACACACACACACACACACACACACACACACCCACACACCCACCCACACACACACCCCCTTAATCTGCATTATTAATTTTTTTTAATCTAGAAAGGGAAATAGTGATTAAAAAGAACATGGCTTCATCAAGAGCTGATTATGTCAAGTTAAACTTATTTCATTTTTTTTATACAGGATTGCTAAATTGGCAGATAAGGAGGTATGTTGTAAATACAATTTATCTGGATTTTATTTATTTTTCTTTTTTTATTAATTTATTTTTAGTTTTCAACATTCACTTCCATAAGCTTTTGAGTTTTAAATTTTTTCCCCCTCCCTCGCTCTCTCTCTCATGCAATCTGATATAGGCTGTACATATACATTCCTATTAAACATATTTTCACATTAGTCACATTGTAAAGAAGAATTAGAGCCAATAGGAGGAGCCATAAGAAAGAAGAAATAAAACAAAACAGAACAGGGGAAAAAAAAGAGCGAATAGTCTGCTTTGATTTGCATTCAAACTCCATAGTTCTTTCTCTGGATGTGGAGAGCATTTTCCATCATGAGGCCTTTGGAGAATGTCTTAGATACTTGCATTGCTGAGAAGGGTTAAGCCTGTCAACGTTAGTTATTGCACAACCTGACTGTTACTGTGTACAACATTGTCGTGGTGCTCACTTCACTCAGCATTGGACCGTACACGTCTTTCCAGGGTTTTCTGGAGTCAGCCTGCTCATCATTTCTTACAGCACACTAGTATTCCATGACATTCACATACCACGACTTGCTCAGCCATTCCCCAGTGGATGGCATCCCCTCAGTTTCCAGTTCTTGGCCGCCACACAAAGAGCTGCTGTGAATATCTCTGTACACGGGGGTGCTGCCGTTGCTGGGTCAGAGGGTGTTGGATGTCCTTCTTTCACCACATAAAGAGGAGTGAAAAGCAGACAGTCCAGAGGCCTGGCTTTGAGTCCAGGGCTGTGCACTTGTTACCCGTGTTGACCTTGGTTTCGTTGTTTACTCTTTTGAAGCCTCAGTGTTTTTATCTGTAAAGTAGGGACAGTCACACTTGCACTGTGTTCCAGGGTTGTCATGAGGAAGGCCCTTTGTAAACCTCACAGTACAAATCTTATCATGCAGATTGTTATTATCATTTTACTTGACCAGCTGCTTTCTGGGCATTGGGGGGATTTGAGGGTTCTGCCAGCATGCAGTGGTGGAAGCACGCTGGATTCAGAGTCACACGTTTTGGGGGCCTGGCCTTCCAGCTCGGAGGACTCTTCCTCTGACAGCATCGCTCAGCCATTGACTCTGCACTTGGTCTCGGAGGCTCGATTGTCTGGGATGGAGAAGTTTAGTGACATGCCCAGGGTCGCACAGCCAGAATGAGTCAGAGGGGCACTTGAACTTTTGTCCTCCTGACTTCCAGACCAGCTCTCTGTCCATTGTGCCATACTGCCTCTGGCTGTGCGCTTGCTTAATATGTATCTTAATAGAGCTGGCCTAAGTTTGAATCCCAGGTCTTCCATTTCCTGCTTTGTGACCTTGGGTAAGTCATCCACATCTAGCTCTCAGCTTCCTCCCCTGTAGGATGAAGGGGCATGGACTAGCTGGACTCTGAGTTACTGTCTAGCCTCCAATCCTTTGTTCTTATGACATAGAAAAGAAAATACCTTTGCAGGAGATGTGTTAGAATGTAAGCTCCTGGAGGGCAGGGATCGTGTCACTTCACATTGCATGCTTACACAGCAATAATGCTTTACACAGAAGTGCACACTTGAGGATTACTTGGACTTTGTTGAAGTGTCAGCAGACAGTGGACATTCAGAGCCAAATGGTTGGCACAGACCAGTCTTAGGGGCCTGTGGTTATTTTCAGCCTTCCCTCCTGATGCTAGAAGTTCTTTATTTTTCTCCTAGAATCTCTTGGTTTCTGGATTGTTTGCACATGTAAACATGTGGGTTTGGCCGGGGTGGGGAGGTGGGGGGGTGGGTTTGACCCTCAGGGAAAGTGAGTGAGATGCTAGGGAGGTCCTCGTGAACGGGGAATGGGGGAGGAGGAACAGGGAGGAATTTTGTATCATCCTGCTCCACATGGGGCAGGGGAGGAACAAGGATTGAGTCTGATGGAGGTCAGAGAAGAAGGGAGGCCTGACAGGGTGGCAGGTGAGGTGGGAGGATGAGGATGAGGAGGGGGAGGGAGACGGAACTGAAAGCATTGCAGTCTTTGTCATCTTGAGCAAGCCCTCCTCAGCCAATCTCTCCCTGTCAGTTAAAGCTTGGTGTAGGAGAAGGGTGACTATGCAGTGATCCCAACAGGTCCCTCCAGCTCCGCATTCTGTGGCTCTGTCACTGATCCAAATTTGTCCGTGCCCAGGGGATGTCTGTCTGGGGTCTTTCCCTTCAGTGTCAGCCCTTGCCTCCAAATGCAGTTGGGTGGGGAACATCAGCAGGGGTGGGATGAAGATAGTGAGATTAAATAAGTGAAATCCTCTCAACGGTGGTGACCCAGAAGGTTGTCAGTGACTTGGCATGTTCTCTCTCTCCAGCCATTTAACCATGGGCATACAGTGGCCAAATACTGCTATGCTGACAAGGTGGGTACCTTCCTGTGATTCTTTCCCTTTTCCTTTGTTTTTTCTCCCTTACTCCCTCCTCCCAAGTTCTGAAAATTTTTGGTGTTTACTCTGGGGTAAGGGGTGGTGTTGGAGCTGCAGTAAGGACCTCCCTTTCTACTTTTTCATCCTGTGGGGTCCCTGAGGACAAAGGTAGCCCCAGTGGTGTCTGTGTGGGGCAGGGGGATGCTGCCTCACTTGAGATGGGAGCCTTCCTCACTATTTTAACTATATCCCCAAAGAGCTTTTGGTTCCTGGGGAGGGCATCAGGACTCTTGCCCCCAAAACCAGGAGGTAGTGTCACCTCATCTCCTTTGCACTTTCCAGGCCCTACTCAACAAAGCTGTTGAGGCTGCCCTGGCTGCCCGGAAGGAGTGGGACCTGAGGCCCATTTCAGATCGGGCCCAGATCTTTTTGAAAGCTGCAGACATGCTGAGTGGCCCCCGAAGGGCAGAGGTCCTCGCCAAGACCATGCTTGGACAGGTGAGAAATGGGGATGGGCCATGGAGCGTTGTGGGTGTTACATGTGCCCTCTGATCCTAGACCACAAGGATGAGAGGTAACTCTGGCTCAGGGAAAGAGAGAAAATACTTTTCCCTCCTCTTTTAAAGTTTCTATTGGTATATTTTACTTTTTACCTAACTTTCATTTCTGAACATGTCCCTCTCCCCTCCTATGTCTAATGAGCCATGCCTTGTGGCAAAGATTTATTTATTTATTTTGTTTTTATTTTTATTAATTTATTTTGATTTATCAACAATCACTTCCATATGCTTTTGAGTTTAAAATTTTTCTCCCCCTTCCTCCCCCCACCCTCCCCAAGACGAAGCCCAGTCTGATAGAGGCTATACATTTGCATTCCTATTAAACATATTTTCACATTAGTGATGTTGTAAGTAAAAATTAGAACCAATAGGAGGAACCACCAGAAAGAGGAAACAAAACTCAACAGAAGAAAAAAAATAGCAAATAGTGTGCTTTGATCTGCATTCAAACTCCATAGTTCTTTCTCTGGATACAAAGATCTAAGACATCTCCAAAGGCCTGATGTTCCCGCCGTGAGGCCTTTGGAGATGTCTTAGATCCTCGTAATGCTGAGAAGGGTTAAGTCCGTCAATCTTAGTCATCACGCAACGTGGCTGTTATTGTGTATAAGGTTCTCTTGGTTCTGCTCACTTCACTCAGCACCAGTTCATATAAGTCCTTCCAGGTTTTTTTGAAGCCAGCCTGCTCATCATTTCTTATAGCACAATAGCATTCCATTACATTCATGTACCACAGCTTGTTCAGCCATTCCCCAGCTGGTGGCAGAGATTTAAAAAGAAAGGGACAGAGTGGTTCAGCAAAGCCAACACACATGACCAGGGCACGGGCAGTGTGACACGCCCATAGTCTCCACCTCCTTTCTCATTGCCTCAGTGGGCACGTGCCTGTAACCAGCCCTGGAGGCTTCTCCTCCCCACATCTGCGCTCTCACCTGTGTGGAGTCACAAGGCCCTCTGCCCTGGGGTTGTGTTGCTTGAGCCTCTGGGCAGCAGGAGGTGTAGACCCGGTTCTGAGCTATTACTCGAGTCTTCCCAACTCCTCACACCATGTGGGGCATGTAGGAGGTGCTTAATAAATGCTTGTTGATTGGTTGATTCTTCAGTACTCATTGAGAGGGAGCCCCCTGAAAGGGAAGTCTCATGTCAGAGCTATAAGGGACCTACCTGTGCATGCAATGGGACTCCTCCCCTCCAGGACCTCCAACCAATGACTATCTAGTGAAGTAGGCTGCCAAGGGTACTTTGGGGCAGCTCTAACTTTTAGAGATTTTCTCCTTAGAAAAAGTGAAGATTTGCCCGATTCTGCCCTTTGGGGCCAAACAGAGCCAGACTAATCCTTCTTCAGATAACCTGAAGACAGGACAGTCCCCAGCCTCCCACCCCTGGTTTCTCAAGTTGAACACTCCTGGTTCCTTCAGTTGACCATGGGCCTCAGAGCCAGGAGCGATTGGAGAGATTCTTCTACAACACAGCCCGTTGTTTAGGCACCTTCTGTCTTCTTGATATCCTTCCTAAAATGTAGTGTCTAGATTGAAGCACGTTGCCCACCTTGTTCCACTCCATATCCCAGCCCTCTGTGCCTCAGGAGATGCTTCTTTGTGAGTCACTGTGGCCAAACATGTCCTAGCCAGGCAGCCAGCCTTTTGGTGAAGAGCCTTCCCACATCTAGCCGGGCCGATCCTCGGGTGACATGGACCTAGTCTGTCACTGGGTCCTTACCCAAGGGCTTTCCAGCTTTGTGGGACCTGTCAAGACTTAGACCCCACTGGTCCAGCCCCCCAGAGCCTGGCGTCCTCTCTGTCTCTTGCTGAGAGCTGTCAGAACCACTGTAATCATGCCCCTCTTGTTGGGGTGTGACTGCATTTTCCCCAGAAGTTGATTTAGGCAGCTGTGGGGCTTTGGAGGACCAGTGACATCACAGGGGCATTGGCTTTAAGTGAGGCAGAGCTGCACAAAGTCCTCAGCCTCAGTCTCTCTTCCTAAGTCATTGAAAGACAAAAGTCAGGTGACTGGCCATGGCCCCACATGCTTCTTTGATGCCTGACCAAGCCCTGTGCTTCGGCCGGTGGGACAAATTGTTCTCATCTGCCCATTCTGCTGGGGAAGGTCTTCACATGCCCGGGGCAGACATCCCCTCACTCACCTTCAACCTGCTTTAGCCCATCTGCAGAGATGGTTCGCTGGGATTTACTGCTCATGTTCCACCTTTTGGAGCACACCCAAGGTGAATGAGGAGCCCCAAAAAGGGCTTGGTGGCCCTCACGCCAGAGGGGCTGGTCCTCCCTGAATACTCCATCCAGGCAGCTGGGCACCCTGGGTAGACGGCCGGGCCTGGAATCAGGAAGACCTGAGTTCAGATCCAGCATCTGACTCGTACTAGCTGCGTCACCCTTGTCAGGTCGTGTAGCTTTCCTGCCTCCATTTCCTCAACTGTGAAATGGGGATAAGAATATTTCTTCCCTCCCAGGGTTGTTGTGAGGATCAAGTGACATAATATTTGTCGCGTACTTAGCACACTACCTGACACATAGTAGGTGCCTTATAAATGCTTGTTACCTCCCCTTCGGAAGATTATTTTTAAGCCCCGAGGCTAGGAGAAATCTTTTTCGTGGACTACTTTGCCACTGCCTTAAGCATTTCCCTGCTTGTGGTTTAACTGTGGATCTCCCCCACATTTCTTAATGTGTTGTTCCATGGCACCCCCGTCACCCCTTCCAACTTCATTCAGCCAAACTGACCACCCTCAGAGAAGCATGGCCTGTCATGCAGTGCTCCAGGCCCCAGGCTCTTCTTTGGGCCAGGCTTGGCCGTCTTAGTTCCCCCGATCTCTTCTTGCCACTTTTGGGCCTCGATCCCACGTTGGAGTCGGTCCAGGGGGATCTCCTCTTGCTTCTCCCCATCCTTCTTTCTCTTTGATCATGTTCACGTTGAGCCGTTCGTTGCGTTTCCTGGGCCTCAGCACTCCTGACTCTGCTGTTGGCTAGTTGGCCCGTGGAGGGTGAACCAGACAATGGAGGCATGGGTACTGGGTGACCTCAGGCAGGCTACTCCCTGGCTATGGGCCTTGCTTTTCTTTCTTTTTTTTAACATAAATTTATTTATTTTTAGTTGTCAACATTCACTTCCACAAGATTTTGAGTTCCAAATTTTCACCCCATCTCGCCCCTCGCCCCACCCCAAGAGGGCATGCATTCTGAATACCCCTTCCCCTAGGCTGCCCTCTCTTCTGTCTCTCCCGAACCCTTCTCTTAGCACCTTCTGCTTCTGTTTTCCTGTAGGGCAGGATAGACTTCTGTACCCCATTTCCTGTATTTCTTATTTCCCAGTTGCATGTGGAAACTTTTTTTTAAACATGTGTTTTTGAAACTTTGGGTTCCAAATTTTCTCCCTTCCTCCCTCCCCACCCACCCTCATTGAAAAGGCAAGCAACTCAATATAGGTTATACATGTGCAGCTATGCAAAACACTTCCATGGTATACACGTTGTGAAAAACTAACTTATTTCCCTTAATCCTATCCTGCCCTCCCATTTATTCTGTTCTTTCTTTTGACCCTGTCCCTTCTCAGAAGTATTTGCTTCTGATTACCCCCTTTTCCAGTCTGCCCTCTTCTCTATCATCCACCTGCTCTCTTGTCCCCTTCCCCCCTATTTTCCTGTAGGGTAGGACAGATTTCCATACCCAACTGAATGTGTATGTTATTCCCTCCTTAAGCCAAATCTTATGAGAATAAGATTCACTCATTCCCTCTCACCTTCCCCTGTTTCCCTTCCACTGTAAGAGCCTTTTCTGTTTTTTTTTTGTGAGGTATTTACGCCATTCTACCTCTCCCTTTCTTCTTCTCCTAGTATAATCCTCTCTCATCCCTTAATTTTATTCTCCAGATATGACTCCTTAATCTTCAGCTCCCCCTGTGCCCTCTATCTATCTATCTATCTATCTATCTATCTATCTATCTATCTATCTTCTATCTGTCTGTCTGTCTGTCTGTCTGTCTGTCTGTCTGTCTGTCTATCTGTCTATCTATCTATCTCTCTATCTATCTATATACATACATATAATTTTCTCCCCTCCAACTACCCTAATACTGACAAAGGTCTCATGGGTTATAAATATCATCTTTCTATGCAGGAATGTAAATAGTTCAACCTTAATAAATCTCTTATGATTTCTCTTTCCTGTTTACCTCTTCATGTTCCACTTCAGTCTTGTATTTGAAAGTCAGATTTTCTATTTCAGCTCTGTTCTTTTCATCAAGAATGCTTGAAAGTCCTCTATTTCACTGAATGACCATTTTTTTTTTCCCCTGAAGGATTATACTCAGTTTTTCTGGGTAGGTGATTCTTGGTTGTAATCCTATCTCCTTTGCCCTCTGGAATATTATATTCCATGCTCTGCAGTCCTTTAATGTAGAAGCTGCTAAATCTTGTGTTATCCTGATTGTGTTTCTACAATACTTGAATTGTTTCTTTCTGGCAGCTTGTAATATTTTCTCCTTGACCTGGGAACTCTGGAATTTGGCTACAATATTCTAGGAGTTTTCTTTGGGGATCTCTTTCAGGAGGAGATTGTGGATTCTTTCAATTTCTGTTTTGCCTCTCTGGTTCTAAAATATCAGGGCAGTTTTCCTTGATAATTTCTTGAAAGATGATGTCTAGGCTCTTTTTTGATCATGGCTTTCAGATAGTCAATAATTTTTAAATTCTCTCTCCTGGATCTATTTTCCAGGTCAGTTGTTTTTCCAATGAGATATTTCACATTGTTTCTATTTTTCATTCTTTTGGATTTGTTTTACAGTGTCTTGATTTCTCATAAAGTCACTCACTTCCAATTGCTCTATTCTAATTTTTAAGGAAGTATTCTCTTCAGTAATCTTTTGGACTTCCTTTTCCATTTGGCCAGTTTTGCTTTTTAGGGCATTCTTCTCCTCATTGGCTTTTTGGACCTCTTTTGCCATTTGCATTAGGCTATTTTTTAAGGTGTTATTTTCTTCAGTATTTGGGTTCCTTTAGCAAGCTGTTGACTTGTTTTTCATGATTTTCTTGTATCACTCCAGTTTTTCCTCTACTTCTCTTACTTGCCTCTCAGAATCCCTTTTGAGCTCTTCCAAGGCCTGGACTGATTCATATTTTTCTTGGAGGCTTTGGATGTAGGAGCTTTGATTTTGTTGTCTTCTTCTGGTTGTATGTTTTGATCTTCTTTGTCACCAAAGTAAGATAATATAGTCTGACTCTTTTTGCGCTGCTTGCTCATGATCCCGGACAACTGCTTGAGTTTTAAACTCTTTGGTAAGGTAAGAGTCTGCTTCCAATGTGGAGCATGTACTGTCCCAAGCTTTGGGGGGTTTATACAGCTGTTTTCAGAGATTCTTGTAAGGTGGTATGATTAAGGGGCGAGGTGTTTACTCCTTTCCTGGCCTGTGACCACAAGTATTCCTTTCTGTCCCGTAACTGTGAGGAGGGGTTCCTCTCTACAGCCACTACAAACTCCCACCATGCCAGTGTTCTTCCTCGCCCCAGGACCACCGCCCAGATCCAAGCATGGGCAAAGCAAGAGATTCCTGCCTCAGCACTGGCAAAGAGATCCCTGCAGTCCCCCTCTGATCAGCCACTGGATTCCCCCTCAGTCTGTGGGCCAGAAGCTTAGGACACAGCCACCGCCCCGGTGCCCGCACTGTGTGCTCTGCAATTGCCTTTGAGACCTAGCTCCTCTCTCAGCACCGCAGAAACAGACTTTTCCCACTGACCTTCTAAATTGTCTTTGGCATTCTTGGGTTGAGAAGTCTGGAAACCACCACAGCTGCTAGCGATTGAGTCCTCTGAGGCCTGCTCCAGGTTTGCTGCGGCTTGCGCCCCCACACCTCACTGTGCTCCTCTCCCCACCTGGCACAATATGCCTTTCCGATCAATCATCCAGGTTGTCTTGGGCTGGAAATTTGTCTCACTCTGTCTTTTTGTGGGTTCTGCTGCTTTAGAATTTGTTTAGAGCCATTTTTTATAGGTATTTGGAGGGGTTTGGGGGAGAGCTCAAGCAAGTCACTGCTTTCACTCCGCCATCTTGGCTCTGCCCTTCCCTTGCTTTTCTCATCTGTAAAATGGAGATCATGTTGTCCTTCCCAGCCACACTAGCAGGGTGCTCCTCCTTAATATAGTAGTATGATATAATACTGCTTAAAATAAGGGTTCTTCTCTCTCTGGCACTTAGAGTATTGTGTGTTAGCTGATGATAATAATAAATTCTGTCTGCTCATTTCTAGACTCTGAAGTTCCATTTGGGCAGAACTGCCATCTGAATTAAATAACGCACTCAGCACTGTGCATGTTGGTATACATACGGCATGCACTTCATAAATGTTTGTCACCTTGTATTGTTATTGTTCCTTCTAGGGCAAAACTGTGATCCAGGCTGAGATTGATGCTGCCGCCGAGCTGATTGACTTCTTCAGATTCAACGCCAAGTATGCCATGGAGCTGGAGGGCGAGCAGCTCGTCAGCGTCCCTCCCAGCACCAACACAGTGGTCTACCGAGGCCTGGAGGTAGCTCGGAGGGCAGTGAGTCGGGAGGGGGCTCCCCATGCTTGCCCTGCTGGGCCTTGACCTCCACACCTGCTCTTCCACAGGGCTTCGTGGCGCCATCTCTCCCTTTAACTTCACAGCAATCGGAGGCAACCTGGCTGGGACTCCGGCCTTGATGGTGAGTACGGGCCCATTAAGGCCAGGAGAACAGGGTCTCTGTGCTCTCGTGCTTCTGCAGAAAAGGGCCCGGGCTGGCGGGGAGGGGCATGGAGGTGCTTCCTCACGTCCTTATTTGGGACCAGGCTTGGTCAACATCATCTCACAACAGTCAGCCTTAATTATTTTCAGCAAGCTAAGAACTCGGGACACAAGGAAAGGCAGAGGCCAAGTGCTGCCCTCGGGCAGCTCCCAGTCTAGTCCGGGAGACCACACGGGAATAATGAGGCTCCTGGGTTTGGGGCAGCTAAATGGCACAGTGCACAGAGTCAAGAAAGCCTGAGTTCGCTTCCAGCTTCAGACATCTGTTAGCTGTGTGACCCGGGGCAAGTCACTTACCTCTGCCTGCCTGGTAAAATGGAGATAATAACAGCACCCACATCAGAGGGATGTTGTGATGAGATTTCTGTAAAGCGCTTAGCATCATGCCTAGTATCTGGTAGGTGCTATATCAATGCTTATGCTTTCCCTAGCCCCAAATGGAGACAAAGTCCCCAAGAGTTGGGTTCATCCAAGATTCCCCAGAGTTTTTCACAGTTATTAGAATCCGTCATTCAGCAGGAATCTATTGTGTGCCCTGTTAGGCTCTGTGTAAATGGCCCTTGTCCTCAAGGAGCCACATGTACAGAGAAGAGCAAGCATCAGGTGGATAGGGAGGGATTTCAAGGAAGCTGGAAGGGACCGTAGAGGTCACTCAGGCTAGTCCCCTCATTTTACAGAGGAAGAAACTGAGTCTCTGCAAGGTTATGTGCGTGCGCTTCCTGCAGAAGACCCAGAGCAAGGTCCTTGGGCGTGAGGGGCCGGGGGTCAAAGGACCTTGTGAACGAAGGTGTGGAGGCAGGAAAGGAGAATGAAGGTGCGTGTCTGCACTTTCTGGGAAGTGTGGCGGCAGCAGCAGCAGCATCACAACAGCAACAACAGCTCATGTTTATATAGCACCTACTGTGTGCTTGGCTCTGGGCTAAGCACTTTACAAGCATTATGTCATTTGATTCTTACCACAGTCCCGGGAGGTAGGGGCTGTTATTATCCCCATTTTATAGATGAGGAAACTTGAAGCAGGAAGCAGTTTAAGGGTCACACAGCTAGTAGGTGTTTGAAGCTGGATTTGAACTTGGGTCTTCTTGACTCTAGGCCCAGCGCTCTGTGCAGTGTGGCATCACCTACCTGGCATATGTATAGGAATGGGGAAGGCATAGATGCCCAGCCTCCCACATACTCCCTCCTGTCCCAGGGCAACGTAGTGTTGTGGAAGCCCAGTGACACATCTATTCTGGCCAGCTACACTGTGTACAAAATCCTCCGAGAGGCCGGTCTGCCCCCAAACATCATCCAGTTTGTCCCTGCCGACGGGCCCGTCTTTGGAGACACGATCACCAGCTCAGAGCACTTCTGTGGGCTCAATTTCACTGGCAGCGTGCCGTAAGTCTGAAGGGGTCTGGGGGCGTGCAGCCAGGGAAGAGTGGGTCTTGGTGGGGAGCCTTCCGAGTGTGGCCGACCAGCAAAATCTGAAAGATTGGACCCTGGAAGTTGGGGGGAAGGGGTAACAGTCCGTGGTCCTCTGCCCTGGCCAGGCTGTGTCCAGGTCTCAGTGCCACAGGAGTGGCCTTTGGAGAGTGTCCAGAACAGGGTAGTCAGAGTGCACCAAATAAGGGACAGTAGCAGGCATTGGGGCATTTGGTCTAAACTAGAGACTTCTTCTTGGGGTGGGGGGGATCAGACTTGTCCTCTAGGCCCCAGAGGGCAGGACTGGACATCATGTGGAGCTGACGCGAGACAGGTTTAAGTCTAATGTTAGGATAACTGCTTGAATGAGAGCTTGCTAAAAGTGAGGCAGTGAGCTTCCTGTCAGTGGGGGTGTGCGAGCATAGGCAGGAAGGCCAGTCATCTGGGCTGTGGTAGAGGCGATTCCTGTTCAAGGAGGGGTTGGACTCTGTGATCTGTGGTTATCCACTCTCCTTTGGTCAGGAAAGGGCCACCCCTTCTGCCTGAGGACAGCTGTAATTATTAGGGCTTTCTCCTTGGTTTAACCCAGATCTGTTTCCCGGCCCTCTCCATTCCCAGAACACCTTTGCCTGAGAATCACGTCGGGCTCTGCTTGCTTGGGGCATGCTCCCCTCTGGGATGCTGGGACCCCAGGGAGCACAAGGGGCAAGACCCTGCAGCAGAGGAGAGCAGCTGGTATTGACAGTGCTGGGAAGTGTGCCCACGGCTCTTACCTCGTTTGGAGAGGGGCTCTCCTCCCTCTGGCCTTTCAAGCTTCTTCCTTGGGAGAGAGGGAGTGTAATTGTTATCCCCCATTTTGCAAATGAGGAAACCAAGGCTCAGAGATTGAACCTCTTGGAGCCCCATAGCGAGTACACGTCAGCTCAGGGCTAATCCTAGGGCCCCTGACTCCTCGCCATGCTTTTCCTTGCTGTTGTTCAGTTGTTTCAGTCATCTCCAACTCTTTATGACCCTGTGGGCCTCTGTCCGTGGGGTTTGCTTAGCAAAGATACTGAAGTGGTTTGCCATTTTCTTCTCCAGGGCAAACAGAGGTTAAGTGACTTGCCCAAGGTCACACAACTAGGAAGTTTCTGAGGCTGGATTTGAACTCGGGTCTTCCTGACCCCAGGCCCAGGGCTCTATCCACTGTGCCACTTAGCTTCCCCTTTTCCTACCCTCCTGTTTTGAGGCAGCCATAGCTTGTGCCCAGAAGTGGGGAGCCTTCTGCTTGTTCTTTTTTCTGGAGACAGTGGATGTACAGGAAGAGCCTGAGACTAGAAATCAGGGGCCCCCAAGTCCAAGGATCAGCTGTGTGGCTGTGGGCAAGCCATGTCCTCTGAGCCTCCGCTGAGTTGTCTGTGAATGAGGCTCAGAGGAGATGATCTTCAAGACCCTCCCAGTTCTGACTTGGTCTGTTTTGACATCCCGCATTCTCACATCCCTTCTGGTTCGGACATTCTTTGTTCTAAGACCCCCTTGTATTGACATTCTGGGACTCTGCTTCTGATGCCTCCTGGTCCCTGCTTACCCCATACCCTGCTGGTCTCCTCCCTGGGGAGAATGTGCCGAGCTCCCCCAGGCAGAGTTGCTAAAGAGGGTTGTTTTCCAGAATTCCCTGCTTCCCCCTGAGCAGAGCTTCTGTCCCCATGGGCACCAGCCTATTAAAGGGGGGAGCAGGCAAGGCTGGCTTCTGCCATGCTTTGATGAGTGTGGGGCCCCAAGCTAGGAAAGCCATAAATTAGTATTAGGCACTGTGTCGCCTGTGAGGAGGCGATTAGCATTTTTATTGTCTGGTGCCACTAGGGTTGGTCACACTGCAAGCCTGGGGGAGGAGGAGCTGGAGACCTTGTGGATGGAGCGCTGGAGCCCTAGGACTCTGCTCTAGGTCCCTGGAGGCCTGTGCTGCTCAATCTTCTCTCATCTAAACTCTGACTTCTTCCCCAGGTGGGGCCCTGAGCCTTCCTCTCTGAGGAGGCTATGGAGCCATCATTAGCAAGGGGCCAGGTCAGCTGAGATAACTGACTGCTAGTTTAACCCTAAAGTGGCAGGGTCCTCCTATCCTCGCCTTCCCCTTCATGCTCACACGTGTCTGTTTCAGGACATTTAAACGCCTATGGAAGCAGGTGGCTGACAACTTGGATCGTTATCACACCTTCCCACGTTTGTCAGGAGGTAAGGCTGCCCCCAGCTTGGAATCCCTCCCAGCTTGGCCATCCTGTGTTCTAAGGGCCCTTCAGCTCTGACATTCTGGGTTCTAAGGCCCTTCCTAGCTCTGACATCCTTTGTTCTAAGGGCCCTCCCAGCTCTCACATTCTCTGTTCTAAGGTCTGTTTCATCTCTTCTCAAGTGATGATGGCTGTGCACACTTCTTTAACACTGCAAGCTTTACAAAGTGCTTTCTACATAACCCATAGATGCTGGGGAGCGTTGGTAGTTGTATCTTCATTTCATAGTTGAGGAAATTAAAGCCCAGAGGTGAAGTGACTTGCCCAGGGTGGCACAGCTGGTAAGTGGCAGGTCTTCCCGACTCCTGTCTGTCTGTGTGTACTCTTTTTGCTCTGACAGTCTCTGTTCTCTGGGGTCTCTTCTGGCTTTGAGACCCTACCCATTAGAGCACCACTGTTATGTATACCCCTATCTGTGACCAGCACAGAAGAGAGAATTTCGTGGCCATGTCATATAGTGGATTTGGAGTCTAAACCTGATTCAGATTCCAGCTTTCTCATTCACTGTGTGGGGCCTCAGCTTTCTCATCTGTGAAATGAAGGGGCTGGACTTGATACTGACTGTTCTGAGATCCCTTGTGACCCTGACATCCTCTGGTCCTTCCTTCACCTTCCCATCCCCTAGCAGGACTTTGAGATCCTGCCGTAGGGCTGGCCCCCTTCCTCAGGATGCCCTGGGCCCTCCCCTCATCCTTTCTTCCCTCTCCTTCTCCCCCAGAGTGTGGCGGGAAGAACTTCCATTTTGTCCACAGCTCAGCGGATGTGGCCAGTGTGGTGAGTGGGACGCTGCGCTCCGCCTTCGAGTACGGTGGTCAGAAGTGTTCGGCCTGCTCTCGCCTCTATGTTCCTGACTCGCTGTGGCCCCAGATCAAAGAGCAACTTCTGCAGGAGCACAGCCAGATGCGAGTGGGAGACGTGAGTGGCCCTCGTGTCCCTGGGCTCCTGGCGTCCAGGCCGGGGATGGTGTTCAGACCCTAGTTCGAGCCAGTCTCCTCTGTACCTCAGTGGCCCCGTTTCCTTACCTAGAAAATGAGCCGGTTGGCCTGCACGGTCCCCGCCAACTGCGAGCCCACGCTTAGGATTATGTGCTCTCAGGGAGCACAGGACTCGGCGGGCAGGCCTAGGCTTGAGCTGCATTCCTGTTTTCCAGGGACTAGCTCAACTGGTTCTCTTGGCCTCATTTCCAGGCCACGTGAGTACAGCATCCTTCAGAGACCGTGCCCTGAGGACCAGCAGTGTCGTAGCCTGGCTCTGTGGAGGGCCCAGGCACACCACAGAAGGCATAGCTCTTTGAAATGCTGGGCTTTGCTTTACTTACCACAGCCTGAGGGAGGAAATGCAATGAGTTTAGTCCTGTTTTTTCATAAGACAAAACTGAGGCCCCTGACTTGAGAAGGGCAGGAGAAATGCTAGCCTTTCCCCCAGGCCCAGGCCAGTTTTTTGTCTGCTTGTTACCTGGGGCTGTTTCTCTAAGGTGCCCGTGGGAACTTTCCCCATTTCCCAAGTACTGTGGGCCAGGATGCTAGGCAGGGCTGAAGCTGGAAGAGCTTCTCTTGACCTCGGGCCCACCAGTGACTTGGCCTTGTTCCCTCTGCTTTCCCTTGGCGCCCCCCCCACCCCCAGCCTGTGGAGGATTTTGGAACATTCTTCTCTGCTGTCATTGATGCCAAGGTAAGAATCCTTGTTTCCTCGGGCTGCTGTGATACACCAGGGGCCACTGTTCAGGGCTTTGTGAAGACGAATCCTTGCCTTCCCATCCCTGGCCTTGGGGGTGGGGGGCAGGCATGCTCTTCCCCTGTAGCAGCTTCCATTCTGATAAGGGAGATGGCCCCTGTCCTCAGGCAGTTCTTAACCTCAGGGGTTCTAGGACACCCCTTGAATGGATGACTGTAGAGCTGAGAGTACGGATAGAAAACAGGAGGTAGCCCTGTCCTGGAGGAGCTCACATTCTTCACTGGAAGAGATACTACGTGTTCGAAAGCCCAGCTTCAGGGTTGATCACCGACTAGAGCTGAGGGGCCTCAGTGTGGCAGGCAGTTCCTGGGGGTCTGAAGGGGCACTGGAAAGGTTGTTCTGTGTGACCTCTAGTGCAAGAGCAGACGAGTCAGTCTCTCCTCTGGGCAGCCTTGAGTGTGAGGTCTGGGTGCCCAGGTAGAAGGAAGGGGGAAGAGGCAGATGTAATGCACGGTTAGGCCTTCCCTCCCTTCTCAGTGTGGAAAAAGCACAGACTAGAAACGTCCTTCAGATGCCCAGCCTCCAGAATCGCTAGTCACCCACTTGGTACACAGGCACTTACTAAGTCCATGTTGCATGCTCGCCTGTGGCAGGTTCACCCCAAGCAGGATGGCAGTCTTGTGCCACTGTCTCGGGGGGGCAGGGTGTGAGGGAGCCTTGACTTTGACCAGCATGGGGAAGAGCTTAGGGTCTCAAAGAGCCTCTCCCCAGCCACTACAGCTGGGCCCAGAGGTTACGGAGTGTCATCTGGTCTGACCTCCCCAGTGGGACCTGGGAGGGCAGCCTCTCAGCCCCATCGTCTCTGTCCTTTCGTGTCTTCCCAGGCTTTTGGGCGCATTAAGAAATGGCTGGAGCACATCCGGTCCTCACCCAACCTTAGCATCCTGGCCGGGGGCCAGTGTGATGACTCTGTGGGCTACTTTGTCCAGCCCTGCATCGTGGAGAGCAAGGACCCGCGAGACCCCATCTTGAAGGAGGTGGGTAGGGATGGGCATGGGGTGGACAGGCGGCAGCAGCTCAGGCCCGAGGCTGGCACGTTGTGGGGAAACCGAGGCCTCAAGAGGTCAGAGAGTCGGGATTTAGAACTGAAAGGGGCCTCAGAGGGTCTAGTCCGACCCCTGCATTGTTTTTCATTTTTACATCCTACTTGGTAGGTCAGTGTAGTCAGACAACTGAGCAGTCGATAGCTGGTGCTGGAGACTGCACTGAAGAGGGGGAAGGTGCTTGTTCTTGGCTCTTCTCCTGGGCCAGACTGGTCATCATAATTCCATGGCCAGCCCTTTCATTACCAGTGAGGAAGCAGCCACTCAGAGAAGGATCTGAGACTGTTTTTAACAGGATAAGAGGAAACTTAGGGGGTATCTGGGCCAACACCCCCATTTTACAAGTGGGGAGATGGACCCGGAGGAGCTCAGTGACTCAGATGACCATAGGCCACAGCACTAGGAAGCCACGGTTCATGTCTGTCACTGTCTCTGCTGCCCCAGAGTAACCTGCCTACAGGCCCAGAGGGAGTCTCTAGCTCTTTGGCTCCTCTGAGTCTACATTATGTGGTCATTTCTCAGGACTACACAGCCTCTCGGGGGGGTCAGGAGGGAGGAGAATGAGGAAAGAGCAATTTTTGTCCAATATGTCTGCCTAGGCATTGCCATGTAGTTGGGAGTCAGGACTCCCAGAATTGAAAAATGCCAGTGCCGGAACATAGTGTCAGAGCTGAGAAAGCCCTGAGAACCCAGAATGTCAGGGGTGGGAGGGCCTTAGAACACAGGATGTCAGAGCTGGGAGGACCCTTAGAACACAGGATGTCAGAGCTGGGAGGACCCTTAGAACACAGGATGTCAGAGCTGGGAGGGGCCTTAGAATCCAGAATGTCAGGGCTGGGAGGGGCCTTAGAACACAGGATGTCAGGGCTGGGAGGGCCCTTAGAACACAGGATGTCAGAGCTGGGAGGGGCCTTCAAATCCAGAATGTCAGGGCTGGGAGGGGCCTTAGAACACAGGATGTCAGGGCTGGGAGGGCCCTTAGAACACAGGATGTCAGAGCTGCAAGGGCCTTAGAATCCAGAATGTCAGGGCTGGGAGGGGCCTTAGAACACAGACTGTCAGAGCTGGGAGGGCCCTTACTTAGAACACAGGATGGGGGCAGCCAGGTGGCGCAGTGGATAGAGCACCAGCCCTGGAGTCAGGAGGACCTGAGTTCAAACCCAGCCTCAGATCAAACACTTGACACTAGCTATGTGACCCTGGGCAAGTCACTTAAAAAAAAAAAGAGCACAAGATATCGGGGCTGGGAGGCCCTTTGGTTCAGCCTCTTCTTTCCAATATTGGAAGTGAAGAGCAGAGAAGGGAAGATGACTTGCCCAGAGTCACTGTGTCCCTTGATGCCCCGTCCGTACCATGATGGGATAAGAAGTTTTGTTGGCACTCCTCCAAGTAGTACTAGGTCTGACCTTTGGCCTTCAGCTGTAGGCAGTTAAGGGAGGGATAAATGATGACCTGCAGAGCCTTTGCTAGCTGGATGGGGAAGGGAGCAAGCTGGGGTGGCCCGATCATGGCTGAGCATGGATTAAGGCGAGATTTGGGGCCTTTGCTGCTCAGGGAGAAGGCAGCGTTCAGCCTGTGAGGCCGGTGGGGCTGGCCCTTGCCCTTCCCTGGTGCCCTCTGAGCCGGGGGGCTCAGACCTCGTGTGCCCTGACCCTGGCTGCCCCTCTGTTTGCAGGAGATCTTTGGCCCCATCCTGACTGTCTATGTGTACCCTGAAGGCCAGTACAAGGAGACTCTTCGGCTGGTGGACAGTACCTCCCCCTATGGCCTCACGGGGGCAGTGTTTGCTCAGGATAAGTGAGTGGGCGGCTGGCCGGGCTGGGGCATTGCTGCAGGGCCGGGGCCTGTTTCCCTACACCTCTCTGATTCCAGATAAGTCATACCCCCTCCATCCATCTGACCTCTCCTGAGATTCTGGCTCTGGTTTCTGCATACTCCCAGCTCCTGGCTCTGTCCTTAGAAGTCTTGAATGTCAGAACCAAGAGGGACCTGAGGGTAGGGAGTGAGAGAGCCAGTAGAACAGAGAACTTCAGAACTCGGTGTATCTTGGAGACCTTCTAGACCAGCTGGTCACCCCCTGGCCCCCAGGCCATGGGAACAGCCCCTGAGTGGGGAGAGGCAGCCAGGACGTAGAAAGGGGCTCAAGGCTTGGGGGGGGGACTGCCCCCGATCTCTGCAGCGAGCGCCGACCGTTTCTCCTTGCCCTTCTTGGGAAGCTCCTGCCTAGTTGACTGTGGTTGGTGGAGCTGTTGTTGATTCCTGTCCCCTGAGCCCTTGCATTGGCTACAGGAATGAGGATTGGCGGTGGCTCCCTTGGGTCAGAGGACTCATGTGCGCGACCTCTTTGGGAAGCCTGAGCCCTGAGCTGGGGGAGGGGACACACGGGCTGGGCTGGCTTCCCACTTTCTTTCTTCCTTTCTGCTGCCTGGAAGGAACATCATTCATGAGGCCACGAAGATGCTGAGGAACGCAGCCGGCAACTTTTACATCAATGACAAATCTACCGGTGCAGTGGTGGCTCAGCAGCCCTTTGGGGGCTCCCGCGTGTCAGGTGAGCCCCTGTTAGCTGAGGGGACAAAGAATGGCAAAACAGGGAGAGGCTTTGGAACATAGAATATTAGAGATGGGTGCCTTAGAAGACACAGTGTCAGAACTGGGAGGGCCCTTAGAACACAGGGTGTCAGAACTGGAAGGGCCCTTAGAACATGGAATGTCAGAGCTGGGAGGGCCCTTAGAACACAGGATATCAGAGCTGGGAGGGCCTTTAGAACACAGGGTGTCAGAGCTGAGAGGGCCTTAGAACACAGGATGTCAGAGCTGAGAGGGCCTTTAGAACACAGAATGTCAGAGCTGCGTCCTAGAATACAGGTTCTTTCTAACTCTGTCAGTCTCAGGAATTGTGTCATGCAGCCTCATAATTTTATATGAGGAAGCTCAGCTCCAGAGAGTGAAAGTGACTTGGCCAAGGCTATGTGAGCTACGCCTAGACTCTGGGACCTTTACAGCTTGTTTGTTTGGTCCATGACAGTGCCCCAAGAAGCCCCAGCCCGACCATCCTCGGCTTGTCATTGTCTTGCCCCGGCCTAATCCAGCCACGTTCCAGATATTGCTGTCCCGTTTCTCGGATCCTCCTCTCTCTCTCCTCTTGGTGGCCCCTCATCCCCTCCTTGGGTTGGTCCTCTCTTCTCACTGTCAGCAGAGGGCAGCCAGTCCATCCCTGGGGGAGGGGGGGCAGAAGGTTCCTGGGGTTATTTCATCCTCAGCCAGCAGGTTCAAAGTCCAGCGCCCTGTCACCCTCCTGGCCCGCCCAGCACGGGTGTATCGGGTATCACGTGGCAGCTTTACAGGATAAGCCTGATGCTTGGCTCTACTTGGAACACCAGCTGGGCCTCCGTCAACCCAGTCAGCTCCTCACATTGATCCCTCTTGGCACCATTTTTCCTTCTTAAAACCTTTTCTCTTCAAACAGGGACAAATGACAAGCCAGGTGGCCCCCATTACGTCCTCCGCTGGACCTCACCTCAGGTCATCAAGGAGACGCATGCTCCCCTTGGGGACTGGAAGTATTCCTACATGCAGTGAGCTGGGGGGCCAGCTCCTCATCTGTCCAAGCTACTGACCAGTTGTCTGCCTGCACTGTTAGCTCCTGACCTTCTTTTGCCCGTCTCTGCCCCTGAGCTGAGTCTCTGGGTAGTGATGTCAGATTGTGCACACGCACATGCACTTGTCCCCGCCCCCCCAACACACACACACACACACACACACACACACACGCACATGTAGTTGTTCCCACACTCCTACCAGTTCTTCTAGCTCAGTCCGTGGAAGCTGCCATCTGGAAGGTGGACTTGGCAAGGCTCTGAGTTGGGTGTCGTCAGGAAAGTGGCCAAAACTGGTGGTGGATTTCCCTTCTCTGCCCTTCTTGAAGTTGTGTTAACTCTTTGCACATACACCCCACACCCCCACAGGGTTTTGTCCTCCGGGGCAGACATAGACTTACCTCCTCCTGTCCCTTAAGGGCTGTCACTGAATTTCACCAGAGCCTTAAGAACTGAAGGGGAAGGGTTCCTTTTCTGTGCTTCATCTTAGAAAATTACCTTTAGCCAATGGTTCTCAGTGCTGGCTTCCTGCTTGCCTTGTGTCTCCCTCTCTTTCTTGGTCTTTTACTCTCATGTGTGGGCACGTGTTTTGTGTGTAGGTAAAAGCAGAGCATCCTTCCCCGCTCTCTGTAGGTGCTTCCCTAGTCTGCCTTAAGCCTGCCTGGATAGGACCAGGCCCAGGGATCTGCCCCCTCGGACACTGTGGTGGCTGGGTCCATGTAACTCTTTACTCTGGGGGCATACTGTAAATAGCCTGAGGGGTTCATCTAGCTCCTTCCTTATCTCTCCTGTGGTTTCAGCCTTATGCCTCATCTCTTGTTAGCTAGAGTTTAGCTTATGACCCTTGTCCCTGGGGCAGCACTTCCAAAGATGCCAGGTTCCAGCCATCTCAGGCCCTTGGGGATGGAGAAGCCTGAAATGTGCCTATAGGGAGTATGCCCAATAAACCTTCCCAGCCCTTCTAGCTCCCAAGACCCACTCGGGGCCCATTGCCCTTGGAATGTTCTGTGCTTCCAAATGCAGACCATCCATGTGACCCTGGGGAAATCACTTCATCTCTCTGTGCCTTGGTTTCCTTGCCAGATAATTACCCAGTTAGCCCTGGATCCATTTGAGGCAGCCGATTGGCCCCTCACCTGAAGGGTTCCCGCATTAGAACATAGTGGGGTCATAGGCATTTGAGTGGATCCTGAGATGTGATTGGGTATTTAGGCTGCGTTGATCCTGGGGGAAGGAGGAGCAGCTGTCTTGGGGAGCAATGGAAAAAGCAACAGGATGGCTGGTTCTCTGTGTCCTCAGAAACCTCAAACACGACTGTTCCTAATGTTTCTGGTTGCCATCTCCTTCTGGGATTGTACTTGGACATCACTAGCGCAAGTCAGCCTGCAGTTGACGCCGGCCCTTGAGGGGGAGAGGGGAATCCTGTTGTTTTTGCTTCAGGCACGTTTGTATTTTTCTGTACTGGAGGGGGAATGTAAGGAGAGTGGGGGGGTCTTGGCTCAGAGAGGTTTCCCTGTTTCTGAACTGTGATGTGGAGTGTGGGTGTGCACTGGCTACTACCTGTTGCTTAATAAAATTCTGGGTATTTGTGCAAGCCTTTTCTGATGGTGTGGACTTCTTTGGGGCAGAGGGGAATCTGAGGACTGCAGATACATTGCTGCCCACTCTCTTATTTGGAGGTGGCATTTCTAGTTTATAGATGATCAGTCGTTCAGTCAACACTTATGAAGCTCCTGCTGTGTTCTCTTTTAAATATTGGGAATACAAAGAAAGGTCAAAGGCAGCCCTTGCACTTGAGGTGCTTGTTCTAAGCATCCTTGTTTTTAGGATTAAGGTCTGGGGGCCGCATGAGAGATGCTTTCTCCAGCACCATTAATAGAGACGTCTCCAATGTCATTCTTCCCTCCAGCCTGCATCTTTTCTGTGGTTGACCATTAGCATGCCACAGGGTCATGCAATGGAGCAGGAACCTTTTGGAAATCAGACAGTGTGGGACGTCAGAACCCAGAAGTGTGATTTTCAAGGGGTGGGCCATGAGAGTTTAGGATGTTATGTTGTTATTGCAGACTTTAAAAAATTACTGTAAAAATTTTACTTATTCATTGTAGATAGTATGGTAAGAATAATATTTGAAAAATAAGATTGTCTTGTATGCACCAACCTCAGAACACATCAACTCCTGAACTGCCAATAAACTAAAAGAAATTTGCTCCTAAAGAAGGGAAAATATACATGTAGTTTCTCCTAACTTTCTCATTTCTTCCCAATCTAAAAACTGAGTGTGTATTCCTAGTGGCAAAAGTTTTGGTTTAGTGGGATGTCAGCTGGGAGGGAAGTTAGAACACGGACTATCAGAGCTGGGAAGGCCCTTAGAACACAGGATGTCAGAGCTGGGAGGACCCTTACAACATAGAATGTCAGAGCTAGGAAGTTAGAACACAGAATGTCAGAACTGGTAGGCCCTTAGAACACAGGATGTCAGAGCTGGGGGGACCCTTAGAACATAGAATGTCAGAGGGAACTTAGAACACAGAACGTCAGAACTGGTAGGGAGACCTTAGAATGCAGTGTCAGAGCTAGGAGGGCCTTTAGAAAATTGTCAGAACTGGGTGGGCTCTTGAAACAGAGCATTAGAGAGCTAGGAAGGACCTTAATCTAATTCGACCTCAATGAAGAACCATCCGGATGGGTTAAGTTAGTCATCTACCGTCACACAGAACACAGAATGTTGGAGCTGGGTGGGATCATCTAGGAAGTCCTGTTAGGTGAATGTATTGGTCCCACAGCAGAGCTGAAACTAAAACAGATTTCCCAGTGAGCATGGCTACTGTTTTTCTCAAAAGTTCCCTTTTAACTAAACTTCAGCAAGGATCTGAGCTTTTGCTGGTGTATGTTTATTCATTATAGTTCCCACCCTGCTCTTCCTTCTCACCACAGGCAGTATTACTTGGGAGGGGGCTCAAACTGCCTGGGTCCCAGTCTCTCCTCCTGGAAAGCAGTCGTGGTGTGACAGCCGCTTTGCATGGTCTGTAAAGTAAATCCCCGAGTCTCAGAAACCAAAGGAGTCTCTTCATTTCCCTGCTTCAGCTGAGGGGGCCTGGGCAGGAACCATTTGACTAGAAATGGGTGTCTCCGCTGTGACTGTCATGCCTCATGAGCGTGACAGGCTGGGCTCTTGTAAGGAAATGAAGGGGGCACCTGCATCAACTCCCTTCAGGAGGTATGGCCAGAGTGATCTTCGGAATTGAGGCCCAGCAGGAAGCAGGAGGGTTGGAGAATCACAGAATGTTAAGGCGCCCTTGTAGTTTGGAAGAGGAATCATCTCTAATGTAAAAAGTGACCATTCAGCCTCTGCCCAAAGGCCCCCAACAAGAGGGGTCCCCACTGCCAAAGTATGCGGGCAGACAAGCTGACATCTAGGTTTGTTTTGCTTAACTATACTTGGTTACAGGAGGATAAAGGCTCACATTTATATGGCACTTTAAGGTTTGCAAATTATTCTATCTATTTGATTTGATTCTTGCTACAACCTTGAGGGGTAGATGCCATGCTTTCACCAATGAGTCTCAGCAAAGTAATTTGCCCAGGGTCAAAGGCATGATTTCCATTCTCCAAGGCTGACTTTCTACCACACCACCTAGATGCCACAATTGTTTATGTGTGTGTGTGTGTGTGTGTGTGTGTGTGTGTATAAAAACCTTGAGTTATAATGCAGCAAATTGACTTCATAGTTGTCAATCAAGAAACATTTATTAAGCACCTAATATATACTAGGCAGGCAGCTAGGGGGCACATCTCATCAGCTGCCGTGAGTTCAACCATGACCTCTAGAGCGCTGTGCTTAGAATCAGGAAGACATCTTTGTAAGTTCAACTCTGGTCTCAAGACACTTACTAGCTGTGTGACCCTGGGTAAGTCAGTTAATCCTGTTTGCCTCAGTTTCCTCATCTGTCAAATGAGCTGAAGAAAGAAATGGCAAACCCCTCCAGTATCTGTGCCAAGAAAACCCCCAATGGGGTCACGAAGAGTTGGACCCAACTGCAACAAACATGCGAGGCATCGTGCTAAGCACTGGGAATATGGAGATGAGATAAAGGCATCCCTGTCCTCGAGGGGTTTCCATTCCAGTGGAGTGTATGATGTGTTTGTATACAGGCATATACATAACCCATACCGAGCAGACATAAACAGATCTTGGATGGGAAGACATCGGCAGCTAGGGGATGAGGAAGGGCCTTCTACAGAAGATATCACTTGGTCTGATCTTTGAAGGAAAACCAGACTTGAAGGGGCAGAGGTGCAAAAGGAGAACATTCATTCCAGACCTGGGGCCCAAGGCTTGAAGACAGGAGATGGGAGTGTCCTGTGAGGAACGGCTAGTACGCCAGAGTAGCTATATTGCTGTGTACACAGGGACACAGATTGTTCATTCCTGGTTCTCAAAGAGGACCAATGACATCAGGAGGGTGATGTTTTGACTTGCAAGTGAATTGGATTTAAGTGGGGCAGAGCTGTGCAAAGCCATCTGCCTCACTCTCCCAGACTCATCAGAGTCCCATGGCAAGACGTAGGTCAGGACAATTGGTGACGGCCCTGGATGCAGTGGGAGACCTTGACCTTTTTCAACGAAGGTCTTTCCTAGGTCTCAGTTTGTCTGAGGCAATACCCATTCAGTGATTTATGGGTAGGTAAGAAATGAGGCAAAAAATGGCTTAGTTTGCCTACTGAAAAAAAAAAAATCAATCTGGAAGGGAAAGGCCCTTAAGGTTTCTGCCCAGAACAGAAACAATTGCTATTTATACTCACTCTATAAGTACAAAGGCATCAGACTGACAGGCTTTAAAGGCCAAATGAGATGGTTTATATTTGATTCTAGAGGTTAATAGTGTTTGTGAGTGTGGGTGATAGATCTGTGCTTTCAATTGAAGTAAAAGAGAGGTTTTGCGCTTTGGATGATAATTAAACCCATGGGGACTGATGAGGTCCTTCTCTTAGCTATGTGGAGGATGCGTAAAGAGTGGGGAGAGACGAGATAAAGAGACCAGTGAGGGGACCGTTGCAGTCATCCAGTTAAGTGGCTGTATGAATGGAGAAAAGGACAGTCTAGAGATAGAAATGAGATTTGGTGAACCTGGGGGACTATGAGATTGTGGTGCCTTTGATGGTAATAGGAAAATTTGGAAAAAGTGGGGGGTTGGTGGTAGGGTGGGGATAGGGAAGAGAATGAGTTCCATTCTGGATGTGCTGAATTTGAGATGCCAAGAGGTCATCCAGTTTGAGATGTCTAAGAGGCAGTCGGCAATGGTGGGACTGCGGCTCAGGAGAGAGGTTAGGGCTGGATGTATCAACCTGCATGGAGACGATCATTGAACCTATGGGAGTTGATGAGGTCTTTCTCTAATTATCAACCTCTTTATATATACTGGCGAATTCCCTGCTGTTAACAAATGCAACCAGGTCTCTCTCGTTCTTAAATCTTATCTTGAATTGACCCGACTGTCTCCTCATGCTAATGTCCTGTGTCCTTTTATCAGCCAGATGCCTAGAAAAATTTGTTTATTCTCCTCAATTCAACTCTCTCTCCTTTCATTCACGCCTCAAATCCTCGTAATCTGGTTTCTGTCCTCATCATTTGGCTGAAACAGCTTTCTCCAAAGTTCCCAGTAATCCTTTCCTTCTGACTTCTTAGCATCATTCAACACAAGTGACCCTCCCCCCCTTCTCCTAGATACCATCCCTTCTCTGGGTTTATATGTCTGACCTCTCCTCAATCTCCTTGGCTACATTCATACAAATCCTGCCCCATAATTCTGGAATTTTGCTAAGGCTCTGTCCTGAGTCCCCCTCTTTCCCCACCCGTCTTCTCCTTTAGCAATTTCATCAGCTGCCCTGAGTTCAACCATGACCTCTGTGAAGATGACTCCCTAGATCTCTATCCCCAGCCCTGGCCTCTCTCCTGGGCTCCAGCCCCTCAACATGAGCAGCCTAGCACACATTTCGAACTAGATGTCCCATAAGCATCTTGAACTCAACCTGTCCAAAACCAAGCTCATTATCTTTCCCCCCAAACCCAGCCTTCTTCCAAAGCTCAATTCTTTATTTTTGTTGAGAGCGGGACCATCCTTCTAGTTCCCCAGATTTGCTGTCTCAGAGCCATGCTTGGCTTCTTATTCTTCCTCACCCCATATCACCCCAAATCATTTGCTAAGCCTTGTCGATCTTACCTCCACAGCCACTGCATCTATCCCTTTCTCTACACTCACGTGACGACCTCTGTAGTTCAGTCTGTCTGTGTTCTTGCCTGGTCTATCACTAAATAACTCCCTAACTGGCCTTCTGACTTCAAGCCTATGTCCCATCCCATTCCTCCTCCACACTGCTCCAAAGTGATATTCTAAAGTGTCACTGTTCAAGAGGCCAACAGGCAAAACATAGGGCTCGGTACTGGGAGGCACCTTAGAGGTTGGAAGAGACACAGAGTGTTAGATTGGAGAGACCTTTGGGCAAATAATGTGTGGGAAGGCCTTAGATCATGGAATGTCAGAGCTGGGAGGGCCCTTAGAACCCAGGGTGTCAGGGCTGGGAGGGCCCTTAGAACTCAGGGTGTCAGGGCTGGGAGGGCCCTTAGAACCCAGGGTGTCAGACCTGGGAGGGCCCTTAGAACACAGGGTGTCAGGGCTGGGAGGGCCCTTAGAACCCAGGGTGTCAGACCTGGGAGGGCCCTTAGAACCGAGGGTGTCAGACCTGGGAGGGCCCTTAGAACACAGAATGTCAGAGCTGGGAGGGCTCTTAGAACACAGGGTGTCAGGGCTGGGAGGGCCCTTAGAACACAGGATGTCAGAGCTTGGAGGACCCTTAGAACACAGCATGTCAGAGATGTTAGAACATAGAATGTCAGAGCTAGGAGGTCCCTTAGAACACAGAATGTCAGAGCTGGGAGGGCCCTTAGAACCCAGGGTGTCAGGGCTGGGAGGGCCCTTAGAACCCAGGGTGTCTGGTCTGGGAGGGCCCTTAGAACACAGGGTGTCAGGGCTGGGAGGGCCCTTAGAACCCAGGATGTCAGGGCTGGAAGAGAAAGATCATCTGGTACCAGTGGTATCAAACTCACATAGAACTAGGGGCTGCTAGCCTGTACGAAAGGATCCCTGTGGTGGCATATTGTCTTAGTTTTAAACTGCCTTTACTTCATCGTCTATTTTGTTAAATATTTCCATTTTAATTTTGTTCAGGTGGCTGTGTGTTTGACACCTCTGGTCCAGTATACCAGATGATCAGGACATGAGTTCCCTTGGCGGCATCCCTGATGAGAGGTCAGTTCAGCTTCTGTTTGAACATTTTAGTGACAGGGAACTCACTATCTCCCAATACAGCCCTTTCCCGTTTGGGGACCAATCGTTAGCAGACTGTAGCATGAAGATGGCCATTTAGTCCAACACCTTCATTTTACAGGTGAGGAAACTGAGATCAAGGGAAGGGTTCAGTGACTTGCCCACGGTCATGCAGATAGTGAGGATTTGCCCTCCTGTCCTTGGACTCCAGATCTGATGCTCATTCCTTCATACTGCACTGTCTTCCTTATATCTGTTTCCTTATAACATCCATCTATTACTCCTAGATCTGCCAACTGGGGCCAAGAGGAGCAACTTTAATCTCTTTGGCATGGCAAGCTTTCCAGTCTGCATGTTCCTTTTCCAGCCACTCCTGCTTCAGCTGATGAGATTGGGGCCCTTTACCTGCCGGTTGCCCGCCCCTGGACACTCCAAGCTAATCCATATGGTGCCCAGACCTGAACAATATTCCAGATGTGGTCTGACAAGAGTAGAGTTGTCATTGTTGTTGTTCAGTCTTTTCAGTCGTGTCTGACTCTTCATGGCCCCATTTGGGGTTTTCTTGGGAAAGATACTGGAATGGTTTGCCATTTCCTTCTCCAGCTCATTTTATAGATGAGGAAACTGAGGCAGAGTAAAGTGACTTACCTAAGGTCACACAGCTAGCAAATTTCTGAGGCCAGATTTGGACTCAGGAAGATGAGTTTTCCTGACTCCAGGCCTGTCTCTCTATCCACTATGATGCCACCTAGCTGTCCTACCATGAAACCACCATGGCTTATTTTTAAATATTATGTTTCGTTCAATGCAAATTGAGATTGCCACATAAAACTGAGATTGAAGGTGCAGTTCAGTAAAAGTTAATTTTTTTCAGAGAAAAACAAAGTGTCCTAACTGCTCCTCCTCTTTTTCCATTTTGTACTTATGAAGCTCATTTTGAAACCCCTTGTGCAAAACCTTTTGTCTCTAATTGATTTTCATCTTGTTTGATTTGACTCAATACTCTGGCCCAGGGCTGGCTGCCTGCAGCCCACGACACCCCTTGAGTGAGGCCCTCACCAGATTAAAATGTAGTTCCTGTCAGATTTCATATTGATGTAGTAATTACAAAAAAAAAAAAAAGAAATCCATAAATATGTGGTTTTCTAAGTCACTATGTGGCCTGCACGGCTCCTTATGTATGGTCCAATGGCCCCCATTTCTATTTCAGTGTGACACCATTGTTCTAGCCTGTTAAGATATTTTTGAATACTAATTCTGTCGTCGTATATGTTAGCTATTCTTTCCAGCTTTGTGTCCCAGATTTCTTTCCCATGCTGCAAACTGGATAAGTAGGCCATCCATGCTTCCCCCCCCCCCCCAAATCATTGATAAAAATGTTAAGTGGCCTAGGGCCAAGCATTTCATTGGAGATCTTCCAAGTTAACATGGAACCATTAACAACTACTCTTGAGGCCTGGTCATTCCACTACTTCTGTGTCTACTAACTGTATTCCCTTCCCATCTAGCCCAAATGCCTCCATCTTTTCCATAGGAGGAGCTCAGGAGCCATCTAGGCAAACTGGACCTACTGTACCCCCATGGCCCAAGAGAAAGAAGCAATATTGTCACGGGAATATCAGGAAGAGAAAGATAATGTGGCAGAGGGGAACATGTTTATAAATGGTGGCATGTTGCAGAGGGAGTGCTGAGCTTGGAGTCATTGGAACTGGGTTCTAATCTCAGCTCTGACACTTTCCCTCTCTGGGCCTCAGTTTCCTCATTTGTAAAATGAGGGGTTTGGACTTGATGGCTTCTAAGGGCCCTTCCAACTCTAGCTCTGATTCTAGGATTGATTTGACTTGTTATCCTACTTTGTGAATTGTGTATAGACAGCTGAGGCCATGGGGAGTCCTGGCTTCTTTCTTGGATTTTGCCTTTTGTGAGTTTCTGAATGTTTTAGCTGTTATTCCTCTCACATTGTAGTAGCATTCTCTGGTATCCAGCTTGTTGGACATGTTGTTGTTTAGTCGATCAGTTGTGTCTGACTCTTCATGACGTCATTTGGGGTTTTCTTGGCAAAGGTACTGGAGTGGTTCGCCATTTTCTTCTCCAGCCCATTTTACCAATGAGGAAACTGAGGCAAACAGGGTGAAGTGATTTGCCCAAGTGATTCACACAGCTAGTGAGTGTCTGAGGCTGGATTTGAACTCATGAAGATGAGTCTTCCTGATTCCCAGTCCAGCAGCTCTACCCACTGTGGTGCCACCTAGCTGCCCTTTGTTGATGTACAAGGGCTCATTTGCCCCTTCCTCTTCCCTTTCTATTTTACATTCACCTGATTAGATTTACAGTATTGTAGGCAAATATTATCTTATCCGCCCTTGTTAAGTGCCCTCAGTCTCTGGCCAGGAATTTATCTCCTTAGAATTTTAAGCTATAGTCTACCATTTCCTGTTCTCAGAGCTTTCTTCTTAGCTACCTGTTCACTTCCTAGATCTGGCCTCTCTTCTGAATCCAATCTGATTTAATTTAACCAGTATTTCCCAAGTACTGCATCATGAAGGGCATTGCATTAGGCATAAAAAGACAACAATGAAACAGTCCCTGCCCTCATGGAGCTTACACTCTACTGGGCTTATTCTTAGGTTCTTAAAAAACAAGATTTGTATTGATATGGTTTTCCTCTCATAAAACTCAAATCTCTCCCTGTTCAGAGAATTACCCCCTATCTATTCTTATCTCCTAATGGACTTCTGCATCAGTCATGGAAAGGAGATCTGGGCCATTGACTAGTGAATGGTTAACCACGCTGGGCAGGGCTCTAGAGAGATGAAAGGAGAATGAGAAAGGAAGGTACAGTAGGGGCCTTGGATCTGATGGATTTTGTGTGGACTTAAAGTTCAGGACAGATCGGCAGGGATATGGGAAATCAATTGATCAATAACCATTTATTAAGCGCCTACTGCGTGCCAGGCACTGTGCTAAGCACTGGGGATACAAAGAAAGAAAGGTCAAAGCACCCTCAAGGTGCCTACAATCTAATGAGGGAGACAACATGTGGACGACTATATCTGGGATAAGTTGGAGATAATCAACAGAGGGAAGGCACTAGAATTAATGGGGATCAGAAAAGGCTTCCTGTGGAAGGTGGGATTTTAGCTGGGACTTGAAGGGAACCAGGAAAGCCAGGAGGCAGAGTGAGGAGGAAGGAGGCAATTCCCCCCCGGTGTTCTTGCCTCAAGTTTCTCCCCTCTCCAGTCTGTCCTCCACTCAGCTGTGATTTTCCTAAAGCTCAGGTCTGATCAGGCTACCTCCATTGCTTAGTAAACTTCAATGGCTCCCTATTACTTCCAGGATCAAATAGAAATTGTTCTATTTGTATTAAAAGTATTCACAATCTGTACCTTTCCTGTATTCGCAGTATTATTATACTTGATTTTCCTCTGAACCCTCTACAATGTAGGGACACCAACCTTCCTGCTATTTCTTGTACAAGACACTCCATCTCCTGTCTCCCATCTCCCATCCCTCTCCCTCTCCCATCCTCCCTCTCCCATCCCTCCCTCTCCCATCTCTCATCCTCCACCTCCCATCGCCCGTCTCCCATCTCTCATTCTCCACCTTTCATCTCTTGTCTCCCATCCCCCATCTCTCCATCTCCATCTCCCATCCTCCTCTGTCTCCCATCCCCCATCTCTCATCCTCCATCTCCCATCTCCCATCCTCCATCTCCCATCTCCCATCCTCCATCTCCCACCTCCCATCTCCCATCCTCCATCTCCCATCTCTCATCCTCCATCTCCCATCTCTCATCCTCCGTCTCCCATCTCCCATCCTGCATCCCCCATCTCCCATCCTCCATCTCCCATCTCCCATCTCTCATCCTCCATCTCCCATCTCCCATCCTCTCTCTCCAATCTCTCATCCTCCATCTCCCATCTCCCATCCTCCGTCTCCCATCTCCCATCTCCCATCCTCTATCTCCCATCTTTCATCCTCCATCTCCCATCTCCCATCCTCCATCTCCCATCTCTGTTCTCTTTCTGCTTGGCCCCAGAATCACAATGGATTGAATTGTAGGAATAGATTTGGGATCAATGTGAGGAAAACTGCCTTAATGATTTGAGCTCCTCCAAAGTGGGATGGGCTGTTTTAGGAGTGAGCTCTTTACCCAACACTGGAAGTCTTCTCTTCTGTGTTGTAGAGGGGGAGTCTTGTTCAGGTTTGGATTAGACTGAGCGCCCTCCCAACTCTCAGCTGGTGAGATCTAGGACTCCAGTGAAGGTCTATGCTCCTCCTGTCTTTCAAGGCTTTGTGGAGCTGTAGATGGCCTAGATAATCTCAAAGGGCTCCTTTCCAGTTCTACGTAAAATGAATATGATGCTGTCCAGATCTTTTCACTGTCTTTTCTTGTATATAGGCATCAGTCTTCTCCCTACCGAACTGCAGCAATGTTAGGGGTGGTAGGAGGCGAGAGCTGGGACCCTCTTCCTCCCCTCTACCCACTCTGACAGGCCTCCTGTCGAGGTTTACAGTCCCATAGTCTGGCTTTGACGTTGAAGGTGACTTTTTGTTTTTGTTTAGTCAATTAGCCTTGTCCAACTGTTTGTGACCCCCTGGACCCCAAGGCAATTCCATCCTCCACTATCTCCCAAAGTCTGTCCAAATTCATGGAATTTCCATGACATTGTCCATCCATCTCATCCTCTGCCTTTCCCTTCTCCATATGCTTTTGATCTTTCCCAACACCAGGGTCTTTTCCAGTGAGTCCCATCTCCTCATTGTGTGGCCATGGCTACCATCTCCCTACTTCATTCCAAATTTCTGTTTGCTTAAAATAAGCAGGGAAAAAAATTCTTTCCCGTTAGTATCTTGACAAACAAATCCCTAGGCAAATGGTTTGGCTTTTTCAAACCCTCACATTTCCCTGGCTCAGTACCCCACCCCTTTCTCCCTCCCTATCACTTTGCATAAGGTAATTGGCTTTCTGTTGCCTGGCAACCTGACAGCCGAGGCCTCCAGGTGTGACAGGCTGCCCATTGAGGTGGATTGGCTATCCAGGTCAGAATGGTGGGGCAGAGGGTCTGGAGAAGGAAAGTGCTTTGTAAGTGCTCAAAGGTAGTTCTCAGGACCTTTTCTGAAGCAGCCCTATGAATAGCCCTCCTCCGCACTACCTCTATTCAAAAAACAAAAACAAAGCAACAACAAAAAAAGACAAAGCCAAGCTGAACACAAGTGAGAAAACCTAGCTATCCCTCTGTGAGCTTCTACCAGGGGTGGAAACTTACCACCTTTGGGCCACATGGGACCCTCTACATCCTCAAGTGCGTCCCTTTGACTGAATCCAAACTCCACAGAACAGATCCCCTTAATAAAAGGATTTGTTCTATCCAAGGCCACATCCCGAGGACCTAGAAGGCCACAGGTTCCCCACCCCTGTATATCTAGTCTAATCATGGGCTAGATAGTATAGTAATCACAGGATTTCAGAGCTGGAATAGTATGAGTTCATTTTGAGTAGAGATTGTTTCATTTTTTTGTTCAATACTTGTATTCCCAGGCAAATATTAGTCGAGTGACTTATCGATTGATTGGAAGGGACCTTAGACCACATTTAGTCCAACTTTTTCAAGAGAAGCTGAGGCCTAGAAAAGATAGGGAACTTGGTTAAATGTCCTACAGCTAATAGGTGGCAGAGTCAGGATTCAAACCTAGGTCTCTTGACTCTTTCCAAGATGCCAGCAGCCTCCCTCCGGTTAATGCCTACCCAGTACAGCCTGCATCGCATCATTCACCACCTCTTTTTATGGGTTGAGCTCTACCTGGGTTTTCCTAGGACCCTCCTCCAGTCCTGTGATCACCAGCTGGAATGACAATCTCTTCACTTCTCCAGGTGCAGCTTTGGTCCTGCCTGCTACAGGAAATCTTACCTGATCATCACAGGCTGCAAGAATCTCTCCCTTTCCCTAGTGTCTCCTAGCACCTGCAGTTTGCACTAAACCAATTAACTTACTCAGCATCTGTCAAACTGGAAGCTGGGCTAGTGATTTCTAGAATTTTAGCACCTTACACTCTAAAGTTCAGCTGATGCTAGGAGATGGTTCCAAGGCTTTTTTGCCTTCTTGAAAGGGTTTGAGCCGTGGCTCACCTGTGTGGCCTTGGGCAATTCACTTCTCCTTGCTGGGCTTCAGTTTGCCCATCTGTAAAATGAGGCCATTGTACTCGAAGATTCCCAAGGTCCCTTCCATCTTGGCCATGACTATGAGTCTGTGCTGGGCCCTCGTGCCCAGGCTGGAGTTAATGGTGCCATCTTGTGGCTGGTCTTGTTCATTACAATGAGGAAGCTGGGTTTTTCTAAGGCTTCCTTCTTTTAGAATTGATGGTAGCTCCCTAAAGGGCTGGGTTTGAATTCTGGTTTGCAATTTACAATCACAGATGCAGGGTTGAAAGATACTTGAGAGGCCACTTACTAGCTAAGTGGCCTTAAGTGATGTTGCCTGATTCTGTGAAATGAAGGGAGTGGGATCGGGTGACCTCCAAGGTCTCAGCCAGCTCCAGGTCTATGATCCTGTGGTTCTTGCCCTCAGGGAGCTTTCATTCTAACTGGGGCATCAGACCCCAGCCCTACCCCAACCCCAAAGGATAGTTATGACACCTAATGTTACATGATCAGTGGGACAGAGAGCTGCAATCACCTGTTAGCAAAGTGACTGCCCAACCTCAAACTCCACCCTCCTCCCTTCCCCAGCCTCATATTCTTCCTCTGGCTTTTTGAGGTTGGAGAAGAAGTCATGCGAGGCTGGATTAAGATGATCAGGGTTTGAAGACAATCAAGCAGGCATTTTGAAATGCTGGCATCATAGGTTGACCAACTCAGAGATTCCAGTTCCAGTGAACAAACACTTTTTAGGCTCCCAGAAAGACTTCTACTGGGTGCTGGGGATGTACAGATATTTAAGACATGGGCCCTGTGTCCTCTTTCTTTCTTTTTTTTCCCCAATTTAAAAAATTTTTATTTAAAGTTTTGAGTTCCAAATTCTATCCCTCTCTCCCCTTCCTCCCACACAGTAAGCAATCAGATACAGGTTATACGTGTGCAATTTTGTAAAGCATTTCCATATTAGTCATTTTGAACAAGAAGACTTGAATAAAAGAAAAAAATGAAAGAAAGTGAAAACAGCATGCTTCGGTCTGTGTTCAATCAATATCAGTTTTTTCTCTGGAGGTAGATAGTATGCTTCATCAGGAGTCGTTGGGGATTGTCTTGGATCATTGTGTTGGTGAGAATAGCTAAGTCATTCACAATTCTTCATCAAACAATGTTGCTGTTACTGTGTACAGTGTTCTCCTGGTTCTGCTCATTTCACTCTGCATCAGTTCATGTCAGTCTTTCCAGGTTTTTCTGAAATCCACTACTTATCATTTCTTATAGCATAATAGTATGCCATTACAGTCATTTACCACAACCTGTTCAGCTATTCCCCAATTGATAAGTATCGCCTCAGTTTCCAGTTTTTTGCTACCACACAAAGAGCTGCTATAAATGTTTTTGCACAAATAGATCCTTTTCCCTATTTTAGGATCTCTTTGGGGTGTAGACCTCGCAGTGCTATTGCTGGATCAAAAGGTGTGCAGTTTTATAGCTCTTTGGGCACAGTTCCACATTGCTCTCCAGAACAGTTGGATCAGTGTCTGTATCCCTTTTCATGGAACTTTACACTCTAATAGGCAGGGGGAAAAGAGAAGTTAATATCTCCCCTTTGGCCATTTCCAAACTGATTTTTTTTGTGACTGGGGCTCATTCAGGGAAGACTTAGAATCTGAAGGTGTACAGCTCCATGCACAGCGAGGCCAGGCTTCTCCAAGACAAGCAGGCCGTGCCTGGAGACACTTAGGAAATCACCTGCCATCCCCAAGCCTCAGCTTCTCCTTCTGTCAACGAGGAGATTGGGCCAAATGATCTCTAAGACCCGAGCTAGCTGCGGCTTCTTCTGCCCTAAGGGCCCTCCCAGCTCTGACATCCTGTGTCCTGAGGGCCCTCCCAGCTCTGACGTCCCGTGTTCTGAGAGACCTACCAGCTCTGATGTTCTCTCTTCTAGGCCTTGACATTCTACAGACTGAGGAGAGTAGATCCCAGTCAGAATTCGTTCTATTGTGTCCTCTACCTCTCTCCCAGAAACACACACACACACAAAGTGTGCAAAACCTAGACTAGATTCCCCCTCTCTCCCTGACATTGACCCCCTAGTCCTTAGCACAATTAGGTCCGTGACTCCAGGTCTTGGGAGATTTCTTGCTTCCCCATCCCAGAGTAGTTCCCATTTCTTATCCAGGCCCCACCCACTTATTCTCTTTCCTCTGTGACTCTATGTAAATGGGCTTCTTAGAGGCTGTACAAATAAAGAGAGGAGGGGGCAGGTCCCAGCCGGAGGCACCTGGCCCGCTTTGGATATAGAGGGTGGCAAGGGACAACAGGACGGAACCATGGGGACCACTGTCTCCTGGATGCTCCTCTTCCTCCTGTTCATGCCAGTGGAGGTCCAGGAGAGTTCTGATTTCCATCTGGCTGGGGATTACCTCCTGGGGGGAATGTTCACCCTCCATGCCAATGTCAAGGGCACAGCTCATCTCAGTTACACGAAGGTGCCCCAGTGCAAAGAGTGAGTGCATGATGGGGAGGCATAGAATTGATGATGACGACAGTGGTGGTAACAGGCATTGTGAGCATCAAAAGAAAGGTGATGGGAATGTGGATGGTGGTGATTAATCATTTGGGGTTCCTTGGTGATGGTGAGTGACTGTCGTGAAAGTGACAATGGTGACAATGGTAACAGTGCAGGTAGTGATGGTGGAAAGGTGATAGTGAATGGTGATGGAGAGTAGGGATTGTGATAGCAGTGACAGTGATGGAATTGGTAAAAGCAGGGCCAGAAGTGGGGAGAATGATGGTGATGAAAATGGTGACTGTGAAAGAGGATGGTGATGGCGAGAATTGTGAGAGTGATGATGGTGAGAGTGATGGTGGTAATGGGAAAAGTGAAGTTCAGTTTTGATGTGAAAGTGGAGAAAGAGATAGGGATAGGGATGGTAGAAGTGAAGATGGGGATGAGGATGGGGATGGTGGAAGTGAGGGTGAGGGTGAAGATGGAGATGGAAGAAATGAGGGTGAGGATGAGGATACGGGTGGTGGAAGTGAAGATGGGGATGAGAATGGGGATGGTAGAAGTGAGGGTGGGATCTTAGTGGTGAGTATGATTTGATAAAGAGGCCAGAATTCTCCAGGGCAGCTGGTGCTGTAGGTGGTATATTAGTTTTACAATAGAAAGCAAGAATGACATTGATCCATCTCTCTGTCTCGGTCTCTCTGTCTCTGTCTGTCTCCATCTCTCTCCCCCATCCCTCATTTGTCCCACCTGCCCTCAGCTATGAAGTGAAGGTGCTGGGCTACAACCTGATGCAAGCCATGCGTTTTGCCATAGAGGAGATCAATAACGACAGTAGTTTGCTGCCAGGGCTGTTGCTGGGGTACGAGATAGTGGACGTGTGTTACGTCACCAACAACATCCAGCCTGTCCTCTACTTCCTGGCCAAGGAGAACTTCAAACTGCCCATCCAGCGTGACTACAGCAGCTATGAGCCCCGAGTGGTGGCCGTCATTGGCCCTGACACGGCTGAGTCTGTCATCACCGTCAGCAACCTCCTTTCCCTCTTCCTCCTTCCACAGGTGAGTCATTCTTCCTACTTAGTAGAGTAGGCATTGGACCTGGACTCAGGAAGACCTAACTTCAAATCCAGCCTCAGACACTTAATAGCTATAGCACCCTGGGAAAGTTGATTAACCTTTCTGAGTCTCAGGCGACTTTTCTGTAAAATCAAAGGGTTGAACTAGGTTGAACCATCTGTGCTTTCTTCCTCAGTCACTTAACATCTCCTAGTCTCTATTTCCTCCTCTGTAAAATGGGAGGGTTGGACTGGATAGCCGCCGTGTTTCCTCCTAAGTCCCATGTTTCCCAGTTGCTTTCACTGCCGATATCGGTGATGATGACAGCAGCTCTTCCCCACCCCTCTCAGATCACCTACAGCGCCATCAGTGACGACTTTCGGGACAACAGTAGATTCCCAGCTTTATTCCGCACCATTGCCAGTGGTGAGCATCAAGTCGAGGCCATGATTCAGCTCATGACCCACTTCAGCTGGAATTGGGTCATTGTCATTGCGAGCAGTGATGATTATGGCCGGGAGAACAGCCAACTGTTCAGTGAGAAGCTGGAGGGGAGGGATATCTGTATTGCCTTCCAGGAGACACTTCCTGTCCCCTTGGGCAACCAGACCATACTGCCCCAGGAGAAGAAGAGGATAGAGGTCGTAGTGGATAAGATCAAGAACAGTACAGCCAATGTGGTAGCTGTGATGTCCCTGGACCTGGTCCTCTTTTACTTCTTTGAGGAGGTCATCTGTCAGAACCTCACGGGCACTGTGTGGATCGCCTCGGAGTCCTGGTCCATTGACCCTGTCATCCATAGCATGTCCCATATCCAGCAAGCTGGAACCTTTCTGGGCATCAGCACCCAGAGCGTCCCCATCCCAGGCTTCAGTGACTTCAGGGTCAGGCAGTCTTATGTCAAGAGGCCCATGAACAAGACCGGCTCAGAGCCCACCTGCAACCAGGAATGTGAGAGCTGCCTGGACACCGTGAGATCCTACAGCACCATCCTCACCCACTCTGGGGACCGTGTGGCCTACAACGTCTACTCAGCTGTCTACGCCGTGGCCCACGCCCTGCATCGCCTGCTCGGCTGCAGTGATGCCAGCTGCTCCAAGGGCGTGGTGTATCCTTGGAAGGTGAGCCTGGCTTGGCATGGGGAGGCGGACTGGCCCACTGTCGACTGACTTCAGGGCAGTGAGGAGTTTATCTTATAGGGTTACCCAGTTGATAGGGCACTGGACTTGGAGAAAGGAAGACACGAGTTCAAATCCTGTCTCAGATACCAGGGTCACTAGTTCTGTGGCTCTGGGCAAGTTGCTTGATCTCTTGTAGCCTCAGTTTCCCCATCTGTAAAATGAGCTGGAGAAGGAAATGGCAATCCACTCCAGTAGCTCTGCCAAGAAAACCCCTCGGGGTCAAGAAGAGTCGGGAGGGAGGGAGGGCTAATAATGGAGGGGACCAGGAAAAGGCTCACACAGGAAGGGGCCCCTGAGTTGGAACTCTGAAGGAAGTCGGGAATGAGGCAGGCATGCCAGACATGGAGCTCCATGTGTACAAAGGCATGGCATCGGGAGATGGGTGGTCACACACAGGGGACCTCTGTTGGGCTGGTTGGAAGGGGCCAGAGGGGAGGTGAGGAGACTGGTACAGATAAGCCCGGGAAGGTAGGTGGGCCAGACTGGGGAGGGCCTTCAATGCCAAGGGGGAGAAATTAGATGCAATCAGAGATTTTTTTAGTAGGGTGGAAGTGACAGGAGATTTGCATTTTTGGAATATTGGTTTGGCAGCAGTGTGGGGGGTGGGTTCTGGTAAGAAGAGAAGGAAGGTAGGCAAGCCAACTGGGGATATAACAGTGCAGCAGGCGAAGGGTAAGGAGGGCTGACCTGTATATAGGGAAACTGAGGTCAAGAGAAGGGGATTGACTCGTCCAAAGTGCAGGTGTCGGGGCAGCTGGGTGGTGCAGTGAATAGAGCTCTGGCCTTGGAGTCAGGAGGACCCGAGTTCAAATCCAGCCTCAGACATTTAACACTTACTAGCTGTGTGACCCTGGGTAAGTCACTGAACCCCGATCGCCTCACCCCCCCCCCAAAAAAAAGCAAAATGCACGTGTCCATTCTATCCTTTGGCAAATCATTCTAGCGCCATCATACAGTCAGGAAATTCTCCTTGGTGTCGGACTTCAAGCCACCTTCCTGTAACCCCCAGCCTGAGAGGAGCAGGGCTGTGATGTGCTTCCCTTCTGTCCTTATCAAACATCTAAAGCCCAGGTCCTCTGACTCCCAATCCCATGTTGTTTCCACTGTGATATTCTGCCTCTCTCTTGTGTGTGTGTGTGTGTGTGTGTGTGTGTGTCGCCCCCATGGGACTGTGAGCTCCTTGGGTGCAAGGACAGTGTTTTTGCCTTTCATTGTGTGCCTGGGATATAAGGAAGTACTTAATAAATGCTGTTTGACTGACTGCCTAATTCAGACCCTGGGACGTAGGGGATGGGATGGAGAGCTGGGGGCCAGCAAGCCCCATCCTTCCCCTTGCCTTTTCCCTGGCCTAGTTGCTCCAGGAAATTCGGAAGGTGGATTTCACCCTATTGGGCCACAGAATATTCTTTAACGAGAGTGGGGATCCACCCTTGGGCTTAGAGATCGTTCAGTGGCAATGGGAAGAGGATCGCAACCCCTTCGAGAGCATCGCCTTCTACAGATCAGACCAACGGAAGTTGTGGAAGGTGGCCACCAATATCTCCTGGAACACGCCCAACAACATGGTCAGCTCCAGGGGGACTGGATATGGGGGGGCGGCAGTGCCCAGGGACCTGGCCTGGAGACGGGCGGGAGGGTTTTTGGAGATAATTTAGTCAAAACCCTTCTTTTTATAAGAGAGAAAACAAAAAGATGAAGGAGTTTGTCCAGGTCTCATTGCAAATTCTAAAAGAAGGAATCTATGGGGAATAGGTCCTACCTTCACAGACAAGGAAGTTGAGAGATAGAGGCATTGGGCAGGAGGGAGAAATACACAGAGGCAGAGGAGGGCAGGCTGAGGTTGGGGAAAAGCTATGGTCCAGCTGTGCTGGAATGTAGAGCTCATGAGGAGACACAGTGTTAGATAAAGGCTGGCAAAGAGAGATGGTGCGATGCCCAGTAGATCGGATGGTATTTTAGGCAATAGGGAGCTATAGACAGTTTTTGAGTAGGGCAGTGACATGGTCAGAGGTATATAGTGGAATGATTTATAGACATATGAAGGATGAGTTGGAGAAGGGACAGGGAAATCAGTTAGAAGACCCTCACACTAGTCCAGCTGGTGAAGGCCTCAGCTCAGCTGGTAGCAGTGGCAGTAGGGGAAGCCCCTTAGCTGGGAGCAGAGTGGCTTAGCACCTCTCTCTCTCCTCCCTTCAGGTTCCCTCCTCTGTCTGCTCCAAGAATTGTCTGTTGGGTCAGTGGAAGAAGCCAGTGGGGCTGCATACCTGCTGCTTTGAGTGTACCAACTGCTCGGCTGGGACCTACCTCAACCAGTCAGGTAGGATGTCTGTGGCTCCCTGAGCCAGCCACGAGGCACCGGCTCCCAGATGGCTGGGCTAGCCCAGCCCTCAGACCACTGCCATTCCCTCCCACCCCACCAAAAGAGCCCATAGGGCAGGCCTTCCCAATCTGGGGAGGGAGCTCTCAGCTGGCCAGTTCCAGTTTTGGTTGGGGATGGGGTGAGGGGTGAAGCTGTTTTCACACGCAGGCGAATTGAGAAAACTCCTAATAGCATGAATGAAAGCACCAACCTCTGAAGCTGCCTAGAGGCAGCTTAGAAAGGCTGGGAAAGCCTGTGGGGCTGGGGCTGGGCTGGCATTTCCACACTCTCCATCGAAGGGAGATAAAGATGGAAAACTAGGCAAGACCTCCTGGTAGCACATCAGTGTAATCATAGGAGTGGGGAGTCAATTTCCCAAGTCAGAGGTCACAGGACCTTGGTATCAGCAGGACAATTTCCTGGCCCCCGTTACCTCTTGGTTTGTCTAGAAAAGTGACTTTCCTTCTGCCCCACTTTTCCAGCTTCAGTTTTAACATCTCTGAAACGATGGGTATCATGAAGGGGAGGTCAACCCAGAAGGCAATGGGAATTTGTCCAAACTCCTTCTTCAACTGACCCTCACATCACTGTCACTGAAGACAACAATAACATTTGTCCAACACTTTCTCATTTCCAAAACACTTTCTGCCTAACAGCCCTGTGAGGAAGGGGATACAAGCATTATTGTGCCCATTATACAGAGGAAGAAACTGAGCTTCAGAGATCATGATATAATAAAAAAAAACTTACCATTTTTGTTATTCAGACCCCATGAGCTTACGGGATCCTTACCATAATTGGATGAAATAGGATGTCAACTGGGCAGGGAACATCCTCATTTTACATGGGAAAAAACTGAGACCCAAAGAATAAATAATTATTGAGCATGAAGAATGGCCTCCCCTTTCTACATAAGACTTCCATGACACTTTCCTCACCACTGCCCTGTGAAGTAGGTAGTGCATGTATGATCAGCTCAATTTTGCAGATGAGGAAACTGAGGCCCAGAGAGGTCATAAGGACCCAGGGTGAGTGAATGTCAGAGGAATTGAGCCCAGTTCTCAGGATGCCAAGTTTAGTCCTCTTTCCACTTTATACTGTGTTGCCTTTCAAGCAAGTGTTGTGTTTTCAATCATACTTAGTCAATATAGGCAGTAAGTCCTTCAGGGAATTAGAGAAAGGAGCGCATTGTGGGCTTTAGAAAGTTGAGGAGGTCTTCCCAGAGGAGGAAGAATGTAAGCTTGGCCTTGTAGGATGGGAAAGGAAAAGGAATGGGTGATAGAACAAGCAATGTGAGCAAAGGTAGTGAGGTTGTGTGTGTGTGTGTGCTCGCACAGGCTTGGAGGGTAGAAACTGGGGAGACAGGAAGGAGTGTTAGGTGGGCAGGTTGGCTGTAAAGGCCCTTAGATACCAGGTAGAAGAGTTTGGACCTAAAGTAATAGGGAGCCATTATAGGATATTGAGCAGAGGAGTGATATGAAGACTGAATTTTATAAAGATGACCACGTCTAGTGGAATTGGAGGGGCAGAAGCAAAAGGGTGAGTACTAGATAAAAGGCTATGGCATTGACCCAAGTATGTGAGGTGATGAAGGCCCAGAGAAGGACCTGACCTCTCAGGCACCACCCATCCTAATGGGCAGGGGGATTGGCTGTCTTTGAGGATAGGGCAATTTCTTATTCTGCCTCAGCCTTCAACCTGGCTCATTGCAGATGATTTTGAATGCCAGTCCTGCCCAGAGAATGAGTGGTCCAAGGAAGGGGATAGCCAATGCTTCAAGAGGCGCCTGCTGTTCCTGGAGTGGCAAGAGCCACCCACCATCATTGTTGTCATCGTTGCCAGCCTCGGCTTCCTCAGTACCCTGGCTATCCTCATCATCTTCTGGATGCACTTCCAGACCCCCATGGTACGTTCCGCAGGCGGCCGGATGTGCTTCGTCATGCTGACACCCCTGCTGGTGGCTTATGCCTCGGTGCCTGTGTACATAGGACGGCCCACTGTCTTCAGCTGCCTGTGCCGCCAGACCTCTTCACCCTCTGCTTCACGGTCTGCATCGCCTGCATCACCGTCCGATCCTTCCAGATCGTCTGCATCTTCAAGATGGCACGTCGGCTGCCTCGCGCCTATAGCTACTGGGTGAAGTACAATGGGCCCTATGTCTTTGTGGTGCTGACCACTCTGCTCAAAGTGGTCATCGTGACTATCAATATTATGGTCACACCCACCAACCTCACCACTCGATTTGACCCCGACGATGCTCAGATATTGATTCTCAACTGCAATGCCAACTACAGCAAAAGCTTGTTGCTTAACACTAGCTTGGACCTCATCCTCTCTGTCTTTGGCTTCAGTTTTTCCTACATGGGCAAGGAGCTGCCAACTAATTACAATGAAGCCAAGTTCATCACGCTCAGCATGACCTTCTACTTCACGTCTTCCGTCTTTCTCTGCACCTTCATGTCCGTCTACCAGGGGGTTCTGGTCAACATCTTTGATGTGTCTGTCACAGTGATCAACTTGCTTGGCATCAGCATGGGGTATTTTGGCCCCAAGTGTTACATGATTCTTTTCTACCCTGAGCGTAACACGTTGGCCTATTTCAACAATGTGATCCAGGGTTACACCATGAGGAAGGATTAGTCTGGGCTGGGAGGGCAGGGGGGAGACATGGGGAGAGGGGTTAGGAAATCCCTTAACATTTGAATCGGTTGGACGAGGTGAAGGACACAAGACTTACTCTGATCAAGGCTTATGTCCCCCAGGAAGTTTTCCTTGATGGATAGTAATGACCTCATTGTTATCTTCCTTTGACTCTTAAACCTATAGGCAGTCCCCAATTTGCCCTATTCAAATTTCATCAGAGTTGGTCCTCCTCTGCTGGCTCAAAAAACCCCGAAGCTTGCTTTTCTCTAGTTAGTCTTGGGGGAATAGTACAAGTGTAGGCTGATTCTGGTGCTAGTGAGCTCTCTATCACTGGAGATCTTCAAGGGGAAACCAGGTGGCCATGGATGTCGTAGAGAAGATTCCATGGTTATCCATTGCCCGTGGCTATCGTGGATGTCATAGAGAAGATTGCTGTTCTCATAGGGGTTGGCTTAGATGACCTGTGAAGTCCCATGACTCTGGGCCTTTTTGGGCTCCAAAACATAAGTCAGCCCTTTGCTTGAGTGATGCTCAGCTGCTGACTGGTGGTGACGATGGGCAATGATAAACTTATACTTAACCAAATCTGTGAGGCCTTTGAAATGATCCAGTCATAGGGTTTATAGGATTTAGAGCTAGAAGGGACCTTGGAGACCAGCTAACCCAACTTCCACATTTTACAGATGGGTAATTTTTCACTTCTGCTTTTCAGCAAGACTTCTAGTTGTATGCTGTAGTTAAGAGTATGCTGGTAAATGTCTAAACAACTGTCTCTCTGAAAAAAAATGTGCACATGACATCCTTTTACATTTTAATCTATGTTATTTTTTTTTAATTTAAATTTTTTTATTTTTTCCATATGCTTTTGAGTTGAAAATTTTTCTCCCTTTTCCTCCCCCCCACCCTCCCCAAGACAGCGCACAATCTGATATAGGCTTTACATTTACATACCCATTAAACATATTTTCACATTAGTGAAGTTGTAAGTAAAAATTAAAACCAATACGAGGAACCATCAGAAAGATGAAACAAAACTCAACAGAAGGTAAAAATAAGTGATAGCGATTTGACTTCCATAGTTCTTTCTTTGGATGTGGACAGCATTATCCATCCCGAGGCCTCTGGAAATGTCTTAGATCTCATAATGCTGAGAAAGGTTCAGTTTAACAATCTTAGTCATTGCATAACATGGCTGTTATTGTGTACAAAGTCCTCTTGGTTCTGCTCACTTCACTCAGCATCAGACCATATAAGTCTTTCCAGGTTTTCTGAAGTCAGCCTGTTCATCATTTCTTATAGCACAATAGTATTCCATTACATTCATATACCACAACTTGCTCAGCCATTCCCCAATTGATGGGCATCCTCTCAATTTCCAATTCTTTGCCACCACAAAAAGAGCTGCTATGAATATTTTTGTACATATGGGTCCTTTTCCCATTTGTTTGATCTCTTTGGGATATAGCCCTAGAAGTGCTATTGCTGGATCAAAGGGTATGCACATTTTTGTAGCCCTTTGGGCATAGTTCCAAATTGTTCTCCAAAATGGTTGGATCATTTCACAACTCCACCAACAATGTATTAGTTTCCAATTTTCCCACATCCTCTCCAACATTTATCATTTTCCTGTTTTGTCATGTTGGCCAATCTGATAGGTGTGATGTGGTACCTCAGAGTTGTTTTGATTTGCATTTCTCTAATCAATAATGATTTAGAGCATTTTTTCATATGACTATAGATGGCTTTAATTTCTTCATCTGAGAACTGTCTGTTCATATCCTTTGACCATTTATCAATTGGGGAATGGCTTGTGTTCTTATAAATTTGTCTTAATTCTCTATATATTTTAGAAATGAGGCCTTTATCAGAAAGACTGGTTGTAAAAATTCTTTCCCAATTTTCTACCTTCCTTCTAATCTTAGTTGCATTGGCTTTGTTTGTGCAAAAACTTTTCAATTTAATGTAATCAAAATTATCCATTTTGCTTTTCATAATGTTCTCTATCTGCTGTTTGGTCATGAATTCTTCTGTTCTCCATAGATCTGATAGGTAAACTATTCCTTGTTCTCCCAGTTTACTTATGGTATCAGCCTTTATATCTAAGTCCTGAACCCATTTTGACTTTATTTTGGTATATGCTATGAGATTTGGGTCTGTGCCTAGTTTGTGCCATACTCTTTTCCAGTTCTCCCAGCAGTTTTTTTCAAAGAGTGGGTTCTTACCCCAGAAGCTGGGGTCTTTGGGTTTATCAAATAATAGATTACTATAGTCATTGACTACTGTGTCTTGCATATTTAACCTATTCCACTGATCCACCTCCCTATTTCTTAGCCAGGACCAAGCAGTTTTGATGCATTTTAATCTATGTTATTAACATTTTCTCCATCACTTTAAATTTAGATAATCAACAAAACAATAACTCACACTTTGGGTTGTAGCTTGCTGAGGTATAAATGATCACATTGAAAATTTAACAATCAGCTCTCTCAAGCCAGTAGGAGCAGATTCCAGCACACCCCTATCTGTAGTCAAAAAAGATCCAGTGTGATAATAAGTGTAAAGCACTTTGCAAACCTTGAGAGTGCTCTACAAACATTAGCTCATCTTGTTGCTGTTATATTATAAAGGTGGGGATGCCTGTAGAGTGTTCTTCTGTGGTCTTCTCTCCCCAACTTCAAGACAGTGGAGGTCTTGTCTTCTTCTCTCAGAAGAGTGCCTTGTACAATCCCGATCTTGAAAAAGACATGTAATAAATGCTTGTCAAACAGACCTTTGTTTATCCTGTTGTTCAAGCTCTCCTTGGGTAAAAGAGGGATCAAAACCACCACATTTGGGTTGGTACCTTGACTAGGGTTTTGATTGAATCACATTGGACGTGAACAGGGCCTGTATACCTCCTCAAATCAATCAAAGCCAGTCAATGAGAAAAATGGGTCATGCCCCAAATAATTTGTGTGAAAGGAGAAACTGTCTCAGGATGGGAGGGTGGAAAAGGGGTTCTGAGAGCCCAGAGGTGAGGGGTTAGAGCAAATGGAGCAAAACTGGAACAAAGATGTGGCAGAGAAGAGAGATAGCAAGGAGATGAGTACTGTCTCAGCTTCCTGGGAATGAGGTTCTCTCTGCTTAATGAGAATGGCCGTAGGTCCACAAACTCTTTCCAACTGGACATAAACCCCCTAGATTTTGTGATCCAATGACTAGGGGTCACCTCCATAGCCCAATGAAGCAGCAAGAGAGGACTTTAGTGGAACAATTAAAAATAATAATAACAGGTCACATTTGTAGAGTTACTTATAGTTTACAAAGCATTTTTACAAACTTTGTTTCATCCTGGTTCCCATGAAGTAAATATCACAGAATCACAGACTTGGAGAGTTGGAAGGGACCTTAGTGGTCCTCTAGTTCAACCCATACCCGAAGAGGAATTCTCATTACAATATCTCCAATTTGGGTCATCCAACCTCTGCTTGGACATCTCTAAGGAGGGGAAGCCCACCACCTCTGGAGGCATCGCGTCACTCAAGGCAGCTAGGTGGACAGAGTGCTGAAGCTGGGCAAGTCACTTAACTGCTGCCTGCCTCCATTTCCTCACCTGTAAAATGGGGATAATAACAGCACTGACCGCCCAAGGTTGCTATGAGGATCAAAGGAAATATTTATAAAGCATTTATTTAACACAGTGCCTGGAATGGAGTAGGCGCTATATAAATTCTCGGTCCCCATCCTTTTTGGACAGCTCTAATCATTGGGAAGGTGTTTCTAACATTAAGTCTGCTTTGGCCTCTTAGCAGCTTGTACCCACTGTCTCTGGTTCAGCCCTACAAGGCCTGCATGGCAGCCTTTCAAATATTTGAACAGAGCTACTGTGTTTCCCATGAGTCTTCTCTCCTCTAGGTTCAATATCCCAAATTCCTTCAGCTGATCCTTATATGACCCTTCTGGCTGCCCTCCTCTGGACATTCTCTAGCTTATCAATGACCTTCTTAAGCAATGACATCTAGAATGGAACACAGTACTTCATGCCAAATCTGACAAAGGAGGGCAGAGTAGAATGGAGCTATCACCTCCCCATTCTTGGCATCAAGGCCAAGGGAGCTTGCAGGGCATGAAAATTCTCAGATCTTTTTCAGCACAACTACTGCCTAAGCATGCCTCTGCCATCTTATGTTTCTAAAGTAGGTAGTTGGATTACTCCATCCCCTATATGCAGATGAGAAAGTAGAGTCCAAGGTGAAGCTATTTACCCAAGGTCACAAGACAGTATTTGGCAGAATTAATTGGTAATAATAATAATAATAACAACCATTATAAATAATAAATTTGATCCCCTGCCAAACATGAAACATAAAAGAATGGTAGGATAGTAACTTGGGCCTATGGTCCATCTCCATTTGAACTCCAACAAACAGAAAAGAATGAGGATAATGATGATGATAACAAAATAATAATAATGACATGACAATAACAATCATGATAAGAAGTCACTGATTTGCTATCTGCAGAGTGCTTCCTAAAGTGGATGCCCTTGCTCCATGTCCTGGGCACAGGGACTTAAAAGAAGATGTCTTTAAAAAGAACAGCTTTCCAAGGCCTTCTTCTCAAGGATTGCCCCTAAGTGGTCTGGGGTGAAGGGCTGATTTCTTTTTCCAGCTGCTGCTATTTCTTACCCACAATCACTGTCCCCCTTGAACTTCCAAGGAGAATGTTGCTGAAATCTGAAATGGAAGTCCATGCCCTTGGGCCATGGCCTTATAGGAAACATCTAAATGAAGAGGAGGGTTGGGCGCCTTCCATGTAGCGATGATGGGAAGGACACTTGTTGAATCTGGAGTCAGATCACTCAGGTTTGAATCCCAGCTCTTTTTCACTCACTACCTGTGTGACTTTGGGTAAGTCACTTCTCCTCTGGGCCTCAGTGTCCTAATCTGTAAAATGTTGGGTAGAGGTTAGCCTAGATAGCCTTCCAGCTTTAAATCTATAATCTTATTATCCCTATG